CCAACATGGCCGTGCTGCACACTGCACTCCAAGCCCCGGCAGTCAATCACCATGGGCCTCAGGGGCCAGGATCGGCTCAGCATCTGACCTCACAGCTGTCAGGCCTGATACAGGACACCCCACACCAAAATCACACACGACCTGGGCCTTACGCGGGAGAAGCCTGCCAGCCAGCATCCAAACCGGGGCCTCAGCCCTGCTCCCACCCTGCTCTTCGACACATGCAGTGTGCATGTGCATGTGGCCCTGCAGCACACATGGGCCCACATGTGACACACATGGCACAGGTCAGGAATACGCCACATGCCACCACGCCCGCCTTGCTCTGGCCTCTGTCTTGGGTGGTTCTAGAAGATGATCCGTCCTCGTGGGCTGTGACACAATCAAAGGATGTAAAACAGAAAGTTCCTGGCCCCGAGGGGGGTGGACAGTTTCTTGTCTCGTGTCCCCAGCACTAGGCAACAGAGCCGAGGGATCAGTCCCGGCTGAGATCCACGTGCCCCTGCATTGCCGGGGCCCCTCCTCCAGGGCTGTCCATCATTCTGCAGATGCCCTGCACACACCTCCTCGGGGACTTCCGGTTCTGGGAACCTCCCAACATAACACGAACGTCCTCAGGAGTTTGCCCGAAGCCCTCATGAGCTGGCGATGGCTTCTGTGAACCCACAGGAGAGGGGCCCCAGGAGCACCCCAGGTCCTGCAGCCTGAACTTGACCCCAAATGTCTTTCCATGGCCACAGCAGCTGCCCCTCAGGCTTCCTGAGGTGTCTGACTGTGTGTTTGGGACCTGCCAGAGGTGTCCCCATTCCTCCAGGAGGCCCCCAGGGGGGACAGAGCCTTCCAGCATTTTTGTGCACCTTAGAAAAAGGGACCCGTTTCTCAAGACAGTCTGCCAGTATCTTTCCAGAAAGCAGGTCTAATAGACATCAGCCACCCACAACGATTGTCCTGTGAGGGGCACTTCTAGAGTTGTGCAGTACACACCTTGCACAACTGTACAGAGCGGCCTCAGGTCACTGGCAGCCGACTCATTTGGGACACGCATGGGTGAGAGTGAAATGTTCCGAGGACTTCTGGTCCTAACCTTCATCCCGTCTTTTCCTGCACCCCGCGGCAGCCAGACGGAACGACAGGCTTTATTCCCCAGGGGGACTGGATATGGCCAGTGGCCTCCCTCCCTGCCTCTCTCCCTCTCGTCTCTCTGCTCTCTGTTCTGCATGCCTTGTGCAGAGCTCGTTTTCCCCGACACGCACCTGCTGTCAGCTGCTGCTGTTATCAGTGACGCCCTAATTAGGTCCTGTGAGGTTTCCTGTGTGTGGGAGACACTGGTGTTCGGTCAAACCGCTCCCGCTTCGCCTTGTGCGCCACGTGCTGCTCTTGCTCCCTGGGAAATCATAGATGGGGCTCCCTGCTCGGGAGTCCCACCAGCCTACCCCTCGGAGCTGGGAGAGGGGGTGCACGGGAGGGTGGGGAAGCGGCGTGGCAGCCCAGGGCTGGCAGCGTGCTTGGCAAGGAGCTGTGTGCACACACACACTACACGCGTGCTGGCAGCATTGAGGCGACATCGGACACCAAAAGCAGCCCCCAGGGGTGGCCTGGAGGTTCAGGAATGGCAGCCGAGAGCAGGGAGCAGGAGGCCCCCAAAGGCTGCAGAACGCCTGTGCCCCTCCAATGCCACCCGCCTCCGGCCACTAGGCGGTGGGGACAAGCTCTGTCCTTCTCGCCGCGGTCTCACCGTGGCCCAGCACCAGGTCTGACACATACAAGCATTTCGTGAGTGTTGGAATTATTTCAGCACCCACTGTCCCGAGCCCCAGTACTGGACAATGACCCTGCTGGCGTAGACACCCCGTAAACCTGTGTAGACGGGATGACTGAGCGAGTGGGACTAAGTCACCGGGGCTAGTGTTCTTGCCTCACTTGAACCCCAGTACCGTGGGCCAGGGCCCGGCTCTTCGTCCTGTGGGGACCATCCCATCTCAAGGTCATTCCCTCGGCTGCTGCTCCCCAAGTCCTTTCTGCCCAGCCGCCTGCCTCCTGGGTCTGGGTCCAGAACCCAGTACCCTCCTACCCACAGAGGGGCCCTTAAGGGGACCAGCGATGAACCTGCACGGTCCCCTCCCGCTCTGCGCGAGGGAGGACCGACCACGCCCCCTACTCCAGAAACACCTGTGCGCTACCTGCCTGCCGCCAGGCAAACAGGCGCTCTGACATGAGGCCGAGCTGTGCATTCCTTTTCCCACCCTGGACCTAATGGCAAAGCCACGTGTTGCAGGGGAGAAACTTGACCAGCAAATAGAACCCGGGGTCATTGCCCACCGCCGTTGGGGCCACGTGGTGCACCGTGCGGGGTGGCAGGGGAGGGCAGAGGACATGTGTGGGACCGGCTCCCAGGCTGCCAGTCCACCAGGCGCTCTCTCAACTCAAGTTCACGGTGCTCGGAGCCAGTGCCGCACCTGTAATTAATAGGCCTTTGGAGAGGTGGACGAGGTCACAGGGGTGCTGAAGGTGCTGAGAGGGACCGCAGGCGTCCGTCCCCCGTGGAAGCTCAGGGACCTGTCTCAGCGGGAGGTGGAGAAATCCTGATTTCCCTGCAGGTGTGGCGTGGGGAGGGGAGATGTGGACAAAGGAAGATAGAATAACGCCTCGGCTTCCACGGTCAGGTGCTGGGAGGGGCGCAGGGCGTGGGGCTGGGGTGCATGCCCGTGTCCTGCTGTGTGCCTAGAGGGGCAGGGCCCTGTGGATAGGGACAGTGCGGGCGAACCCCGACTCCCACACGCCGCATGATCCTGGGCGAGGCCCTGGCCCTCCCGGCCTCCATTGCCTCCCCCGTGAGACCAGGGCAGCTGGAGCCGGGGTTCGTCCAGCTCTCACCCCACTGCTCCAGCACGTGTGTGCCCAGGCCGGGCATCCACGGAGCAGGAGGCCACCCAGTGGCTGTGAGTCTTGGAGGCCCAGGAGGGTGTCCCAGCCCTGGGCCTGCACGCCGCCACCCCTCACTCCTTTGGGTTGAAACCCCCTCTCCAGGCCACACACAAAGATGCTGAGAGTCAGAGCTAAAGGAACCCCTAGAGCCCACGCGGCCAGCGGCTCCCGGCTGGACACCTGCACAGCCGCAGCAGGCTGCCAGGAGCAGTTTTAAACACTTTGCAAACCGCTGGGAAATCCTGCACTCCCCACGATTAATTAGCATTGAATGAGCTCTGTGGGATCTCCCAGGTCAGTGTGCGCTGGCCAGGAGCTCTGATTGGCTGTGGGTGACATCATAGGAATCTCTAGGTCATGGGTGGTGGACAAGATACTGCCCAGAGCCCCAGGCCTGGTCCGGGGGGATGGACCCTGCCCCCTAGTCCCTCCTCCAGGCGGGGCACAAGCAAAAGGGGCTGCAGGGAGAGGAGCCTCCCCTCTGCCAAAGGTGCATGTCCTGGGGGTGAGACCAGATCCTTGGACCCTCAGAGGTGGGAGGTGAGCATCTTGACTCTGACCTTGTCACTGCCGCTGCTGGGACTGCCACCAGGGTCCACACAAGCTCTGGCCCAAGCTCTTCTGTGTTAAGATTCCCATGGAAGGGCAAGTGCTGTGGCGCAGTGGGCTAAGCTGCCACCTGTCCCTTTCTGATCCAGCTCCCAGTGAATGCGCCTGCGAAGGCAGTGGAGGATGGCCCAAGTCCTTGGGCCCCTGCACCCACGTGGGAGACCTGAAAAAGCTCCTGGCTCCTGGCCCAGGCCCAGCCATTGTGACCATTTGGAGCATGAACCAGCAGATGGAAAAGCTCTCTGGCACTCCCTCTCTCTCCCATTCTACCTTTCAAATAAAGAAATACATCTTAAAAACAAAACATTGCTATAGGAAGCTCAGTTCCCAGGCCCGAGAAGCTGGCTGGAGGCTCCCCTAGGAGGCAGCAGGAGTTCAACCTCCAATGAGCTCAGGCCCCAGGAGCCCCATGGTGCAGGGAGGGCAGGGCCCTTGCAGGCTCCCAGCCACACTCTGCAACACCCCCAGACCCTCCCCTGGCGGCCCCGTGCCCACACGCTCAGCTCTTGCCCAGCTGCGCCACCTTTGCCCCCACTTGTCTGAGCGACTGAGTGCTCCCGGCCTTCAAGGCCTCTGATGTCCCCATTCCTGGTTCCTCACCCCCAGACCCTGCAACTTGCCCCCAGCTCTGAACTGCTTCCTGGGCGGGCACAGGGAGGAGGGGGTGTCACTGGCTCTTACCCCTCTCAATCGGCTCCCTCTGGAGCCGTATAAAAGGCTGGGCCTCCTGCAGGTTAGCAGACTGCTTGTCCCCTGCCTCAGGCCTTGCTCACCTCAGTCTTCTGAGAGCTATTCCTGCCTGGGCAGCCTAGCGATGGGGCTTTTTGAGTGGGAGAGTCTTTTTTCTTAAGTTAAAAAAATTTTTAAAGTATTTTCATTTATTTGGAAGGTAGAGCTTCCCTTTGGTGGTTCACTCCCCAAGTGGCCGGGCTGGGCCAGGCCGGTGGTGCCAGGAGCTCCATCCAGCTTTCACGTGGGCAGCAGGGCCCCCACTACTTGAACCATCACCCCCAAAGTAGCCAGGGGCCCTTCTGTGGGTCCGCAGCCTGGGCTGGGCTTCTGCATGTCTACAGAATGCGCCCCCTGCTGGAGGCGCTGGCCGCCTGTTTCCTGCTCCTTTAGGCTGTCACCGGATGATTCCCCGTTGTCTCTCTGGCGGGGAAAGGGGCTGGCTGATCCGGCACAGAGAGGCAGCTGCGTTCTCCCGCCGCCTCGCGGTGGGGGCGGCAGGTGGAGGCCGTCTCGGGCTCGCCCTCTGACCGGCCGCCTTTGCTCACCGTCTGGTTACGGTGGGCCCACCTGGATGCCCTCCCCACCTCAAGGCGCTTGGTCACAGCTGCAGTGTCCCTCTGGCCATGGAAGGTGACATAATCCAGAGCTCGAGGCCTCGGGCTGCAGGTGCCTCCCAGCCATTATCCTGCCTACCCCAGCCACCTCTGCCCGAAACGTACCCCCTGTCTTCCCAGGGAGAGGTCTGTGTGGTTCCCTGTGCGGCAGGCACCTACGGCCCCAACTGCTCGTCGGTCTGCAGCTGCAGCAACGGCGGCACCTGCTCCCCAGTCGATGGCTCCTGCACCTGCATGGAAGGTAAGGTGCCCTTTCTCCCAAGCCCCGCCCCCGGCCCCACCCACCCACGTGCAGGGGCCGAGAGCCCGTGTTCCTCAGGTCCCAGCCAAGCCACCGCGCCTGCACCTTCAGCCGCAGGGTGTCTTGGGGGGACTCACGTCTGTGGTGCTGGAAGAATTTCGAGGCATGCGGCAAAGGGGGGCACCCACACGTGAGCCCTCCACAGAAGAGCTGTCACCTCCGCCAGGGTTGCAGGGACCCAGAACGGAGCAGGGGGCGGGGCCGCTGCGAAGCCCCTGCATGGGGAAGCAGCTGCCAGGCAAATGGCAGCCAGCCAGGGCACCTGACGGGACCCCCGGGGGGCAGTGCACTCCCCCCACCAGCAGGTTCCCTGCCCTAGGTGGGACCATCTGCCTGTCGCAGAAGCAGTGAGACCCCAGAGGCTGAGGCCTGGTTCCAGCCCCAGCTTCCCTAAGGGCTGTGCGTTTCTGAGCTGACCCTTCGCGGAGGGAGCATGGTTTGTGCCGTGCGCCGTACTGCGGGAGGGGCGTGTGTGTGTGTGTGTCTGTCTGTCTGTCTGTCTGTCTGTCTCCAGAGGCTGTGCTGAGCCTGGGTGGAGAGATGACCGCCCCCTTCCTCCCCGCAGGCTGGCAGGGCCCGGACTGCACCCTGCCGTGTCCCAGTGGGACGTGGGGCCTGAACTGTAACGAGAGCTGCGCCTGTGCCAACGGGGCGGCCTGCAGCCCCACAGACGGCGCCTGCTCCTGCACCCCCGGCTGGCTGGGAGCCACCTGTGAACTGCCCTGCCCTGTGAGTCCTGAGCAGGGGGTGTCCGCGTGGGTCCCCTCCCTGAGGTTCTTGTGCCCACAGAGGGCCCAGTCGGCATCGGGCTCCTAGTCCTGTCCTCCCTAGGGCCCGCCCCACTCTGGCCCTCGGTACTTGGCGGGTGGGGTGGGCCAGCACGGCTTCCCCCTCCCTGCTCCTGACGAATGGTACCGCCCGTCTCTGGCTGTCTGACCTGAGCCCAGTGCACCTCAGAATCCCTCACGACACAGTGCTGCAGCAGAGCCCCTGCTAACCTCCCCACCCCCACCCGACCAGAGCCCCATTCCTTGAGGGGTAGCATCCAAGCTTCCTCCGGGTTCCAACAGCCGAAACTTCCATGACAGAGTGTGGGGGCTGAAACCGATCATCGCCCCTAATCCCTGGTCTCGGGTACAGAAAAGTGAAGCCAGCCGATGTGAACCAGAGTGCCGGGGGCCTCAGGCGCCCCACGGCCTTGGCCTCGCGCCCTAGCTTTGCCACAGCCCTGGTTGCCTTGAGTGGGCACCTCACCGCTTGTATCCTGTGTCCTGTGTTTCAAAGGGGAACGTAATTAAGAGGTGTGGGGTGTGGCTCTTGATACCTGATGAGCTCACAGCCAACGTGTTAGCATCTTCTTCCCGCACATCAGTCACCGCTCACCTCTGGGCCGTGTGTCACAATCTCCAGTGCCCCTGTGAACAGTTTGAGTTCACGGTCACGTCCGCTCTCTGAGCCTCGTCGTCTAGATTGGAGCAGGAGCACGGCTTCCCCCTGCAAACCTCACACTCCTGTTTGTGCAGCGGAGCTTGTCTTTGGAGCTCCCGCGTGGCCCTGGGGGGTCTCTGGTCACGGCGAGTGTCCGCCCGCGCCCCTGGGGAGCTGTGGCACACCCTGTCGTCCATATCCTGTGGAGGTGCTTGAGCCCCTGGAAGGCCAGCTCGGGTCACCTGCCTCCCGTTCTCTGCACAGGACGGCACGTTTGGGCTGAACTGCAGCGAACACTGTGACTGCAGCCATGCTGACGGCTGTGACCCCGTCACCGGCCACTGCTGCTGCCTGGCGGGATGGACAGGTAGGGCCCTGGTGTTGGCCGCTCCCTGCAGCTCCTGGCTGCTCCTGCTCTTCCACTGCCTTTCTCCTTGCTCCCTCCCCTCTGTCTGCACAAATCCAGGGAAGCGCCACCCTGTACAGCTCGCGTTCCGCCTGCAGAGACCAAGGACTGAGGTCGGTGGGTGCGGGATCCGGCCAGCCGGAGAGGACGGGAGCTTTCTCCTGAGCCTGCCCGGTTCCTGCTCCTTCCTCTCTCCTCTCTGGCTAAATCCCACCCCCTCCTCTCCGTGCCACTGCCAGGCCTGGTGCCACTCTCAGTGCCACTGCCACTGACACCCTGTCTCATCTGGCACTGCCTCCGCCTCCCCGCTGGCCTGCACAGACCCCTTCATATCAGTGCCCACTCAGAAGGCCTCGGCGGCTTCCTGTGACTCTTAAATAAAATCCAAAATCCAGACCATAGCCCTGGGTACCCAGGACCTGGCCCTACCCCTCCATCTCTCGCCTGCTCCTCCGGGGCTGCCCTCCAGCCCCCAGGGCCAGGGTTGACTTCTCCAGGGAGCTGGCAGCCCTTGGGGCTCCTGCCTCTGTGTCATTCGCTCTACAGCTTGAGCGTCAGCTCTGGGGAGGCATTTGCCCCCCTGTAGCTGCTGAGACATGGTGTGATGATTGAGGACACGGCGGGGGTGGGGGCGCCACAGCAGTTGGGTCACTGTTTGGGACACGTGGATCCCACAGCAGAGTGCCCAGTTCCCGTCCCAGCTCCTCCACTTCCAGCCCAGCTGCCTGCTATCACACACCCTGGGAGGCAGCAAACTGATGGTTCAAGTAGTTGGGTTCTTGCCACGCACGTGGGACATCCGGATGGAGCTCCTGGCTCCCAGCTTCGGCCTGGCCCAGCCCTGGCTGCTGTGGCCATTTGGGGAGTAAACCAGTGGATGGGAGACTCTCTCTCTCTCTTTCTCTCTCATTTCAAATAAAATGAAGATAACTTTTTGAAAAAGAACGTAGACCCGGAGTGAGACTGCCTGGGCTCGTGGCACCGGGTGAGTCCTTTAGCCAGTCGGGGCCGAGTCTTCTGCCCAGAAAGTCCTCGCTGCCCCACCGTGGTTTTGCAGTTGAATGGCGTCGGGCCCCACAGTGCAAACAGCGCCCCGCACGCAGGACGTGCTCGGTCACCATGGGCCTGGGATGCGTCCCGGGGGTGAACGCACTGGCCTGCGGAGACACAGCAGCGGCCGTTCCCGGAAGCGTGGCTCACCAGGGACGCAGTTCAGGGCTGGCTGCCGCACGGCGTCTGTCCCCCACTTGCTGCCCCGCGGCAAGGAGCAAGGCGTGGCCCTGGTCCCCGGCTCTGTAACCTTAGTGGGAACCAAGGGAAAATCCACTTTAACTTGTCACTGCCTTAGCTTCAACTGAGCTGATGGGATTTTAATGACATCTGACGCTTAAAAGTTCCGTCTTTGATGGACAGCCGGTCAGCAAGGCTGTTCTAAAGCTAATTCCCCCACAGCAGGTTCAGAAGGCCGGGCCTGGCCTCCCACTCCGTGGGCCATCCCCACCTGCCCTTCAGCCCCAGGCCCACTGCTCGTGCCTCGGTCTGGTGCTGCCCCAGGCAGCGGCCCATCTGCCTTCCCCTGGAAGTCACAAGCTTACTGCTGTCTGGCGCTATGGCTGTAGTCACCCCACCATGCACACAGAAGGTGCTCATTAAGTGTGGGTTTTTGTTTTTTGATTTTTTTTTTTTAAAGAAAGAACTTGGCCTATAACCATAGGTGGTTTTCCCCTTCCAACTGGAAGAGATCTTAAAGATTACCTTCTCCAACCTTTTTTTTTTTTTTTTTAAGATTTATTTATTTCAAAGTCCAGAGTTAGAGAGATCTTCCACCCACTGGTTCACTCCCCAGCTAGCTGCAACAGCTGGGGCTGGAAGAAGACCCGGAAGAAGCTCCTGGCTCTGGCTGTTGCTGCCATTTGAGGAGTGAACCAAAGGATGGACGGTCTCTTCGATCTCTTTGCTGACAGGATGTTCTGTACACCATGGTATCTGTGCAGTGTTAGAAAACAGCGTCTGCGTGGGACGGCCCTGCCTCCATCAGAATCAGAGGCCCCGCCAGCCAGCCAGACTCCCCTCAGGGCAGCACACCTCCCAGGGAACAGCAGTGTCCCCCGGCGTGCAGCCGAGTCCCCGGCTTTCAGCCACCACAGGCAGCTCACGGCTCTGGGATACACATTCTGCACCCAGGGATTCAACCCCCTGCACGTGGGAAACATTCCCCCAGTTGCATCTGCACTGCGTGTGTGCAGACTTTTTTCCTGGCCATCTTCCCTAAACAATGCAGGCCACCAGTCCAGAAACGGCTCCAGGTTTGCAGGAAGACACCTGGGGTGTGTGTGAGGTGCTTCAGGAGGTCCCTGAAATGTGGAGTCACAAGAGAAGGCTTTTTTTTTTTTAATTTTTAAAAATTTTATTTCGTTTCACTTGAAAGGCAAGAGAGGAAATATCTTCCCTCTGCTGTTTCACTCCCCAAATGCCTGCGACAGCCAGAGGGGAGCCTGCAACTCCTTACAGGGGTGGCAGGAACCCAAGGACTTGAGCCATCATCTGCCTCCCAGGATGTGCAGCAGCAGGAAGCTGGATCAGAAGCAGGCAAGCCAGGACTGCAACCAGGTACTCCGACAAGGACCTGGGATGCAAGTGTCCCAAGTGGCAATTGAAGCCGTTGTGCCAAATGCCTGCCAGAAAAGAGAAGTTTATTTTGGTGCAAAAAAAAAAAAAAGGTTGAAAACCATGCACAGGTTTTCCACGACATACATTTCCACGAATTTCTGGAAGACCCTTGTTATGCAGATACGAAGCCATCTTATACAAGGAAGTTGAACATCCTGGATTTGGGGATCCCTTGAGGGGATCCCGGGGCCAACCCTCCTTCCTGTGGATACCCAGGGGAAGGGGAGCCTTGAAGAGGCATCCCGAACTCTGAGTGGCTCCGTGGTTTCCACGTCCCGGGGCTCCCTTCGCGGGATTTTCCATGCCTGTCCAGGTGTCACCTCGTGGGTGACCCCCAGCAATGGGTAAACGGGCAACCATGGCTGCCAAATTCTCCCAGGAAAGGATCCCAGTCCTTGGGGAGAAGCCCACCGTCCCCTTTCCCAGAAAGTGGCATCCCAAGCCCCCCTGGCTGCACAGCTGAGACGGGGAGGGGCGGGGCCAGTAGAGCCTCCCTTCCCGCCTCGCCCCTTCCCTGCCCTCCGCACTTGCTGGCGGCCCAGGTGGGCTTGTACAGTTCCAGCTGCCTCTAAATTGGTCCCACCGCTCCCCTCCCGCTGCTGGGGCCGCTGTGTGCACTGGGGATGAGTGTCTGCCTCCCTCTTTCTCTCTCTCACAATCCCTGTCCTCCTAACAAGGCAGACATGATTTTTTAAACTAATTCTCTCCTCTCTCAGCCTCTAAGCCAAGTCAGTCTCCTGGGCTCAGGTGCGGGTCCGACTCTGAGCGCCGTGCCTGGGAGGAGCCCCCGCCCCAGAGCCAGCATCCAGACAACAGCCATGGACAGTGCCCTGTCCGCTTCCAGGCTGTGGTCCCCCCGACTCACATTTCTGCTGCCACAGCTCGAAATGCCTGCAGCCCTCGCTCCTCTCTCACTGGGCTGTTCCACCTGTTCCCCGCAGGCCGCTCGCTTGTCAAATTGGAGGTCGTTCAATCGATGCGTTGGGTTACGACTAACGTTACTTATTTTTTTTCTTAATGAAGCAGAATGCATTAGAGCACAGAGTGCATCGCACGCAGGTGTGTGCTTAGGATGGAAACACATGACCCTGAGGATGGGGCTCAGAACAGTTGGAAGGGGGAGGCCCACCTCGGAGGGCCACCCCCACCTGCACCCACCCGCACCCTCCTCCAAGCCCCTGAGCCCGGCCCAGCCAGAAGCAGCAGCTTACAAGTCCTCCCTCCTGGCCCAGCGCCCTGCCTCCCCCACTGCATCCTGCGCTGTGCTCCTCCCTCTGACTTCCCTCTGCCTCTGGCCCGCAGGCGTCCGCTGTGACAGCACCTGCCCGCCTGGGCGCTGGGGTCCCAACTGCTCCGTCTCCTGCAGCTGTGAGAACGGCGGCTCCTGCTCGCCAGAGGACGGGAGCTGCGAGTGTGCCCCTGGCTTCCGAGGACCCCTGTGCCAGAGAAGTAAGTCCCCCAGCACGGGGACCCAACGCTTCCATTAGGCCCGGGCCTGGCCTGAGTGGGGCTGCGCTCCAGGAGCCGGCGCCCATGGCCTCTCTCTCCCTCCTAGTCCTCTGTGCTCGCACCAGTCGTTCTGTCCTCAAGGCCAAGCTCAGGCCCAGCCCGGCTCCCCTGAGGCAACAGCACCATGCAGCTCCCTCCATAGTCCTTATTTTTATTTTAGCTGAGAGAGCTCTCCCATCCATTGGTTCACTCCCCAGATGCCCACATCAGCCAGAGCCGAGCCAGGCCAAAGCCAGGAGCTTGGAATTCAATCTGGGACTCCCACGTGGGTGGCAGGGACCCAGGTCCTCGAGCCATCAGCCCCTTCCCCCCAGCGTGCATCAGCAGGAAGCTGGGGAGGAAGAGGAGGAGCCGGGACTTGAACCCAGGCACTGCACCCCACACCTCCGCATCCACATCTGTGTTTTCAGGAGCTTCTTCCCTCTAGCGCCATGTGGCCCAGGAGGGGTGGCTGGAATGGCTGGGGACCCTGGACACTGACCACCCTCTCCCCTTCACTCTCAGTCTGCCCCCCTGGGTTCTACGGCCATGACTGTGCCCAGCCGTGCCCCCTCTGCGTGCACAGCAGTGGGCCCTGTCACCACGTCAGTGGCATCTGTGAGTGCCTCCCAGGCTTCTCTGGAGCCCTCTGCAATCAAGGTACCGTTTCTGGGACTGGCACGGGCAGGGCGGCAGGGGGAGGGGGAGGGGAGTGGCAGGCAAGGGAGAGCTCAGGATCCCTGTCCTTAGGAGGCAGCTCCTTCCCGACGCTCAGAGAAGCTAAGCAGTTTGTCCGTGGTCTCACAGCAGGTGGCAGGAACAAGTTCTGACCCCAATACCCACACAAAAGGGATGACAAACGAAATCGGCCCCAAAGGGATTGGCCTCAGCAGTGGCTCTGTGCCTAGTGCACCTTGTGCCATGTGTGCGGGCACAGGGTCGGTGCTGGCCCCGCCTGGGGGCGGCAGCATCCCAGCCCCCCAGCCCGTCGCCTCCCGCACGCAGCCAGCATCACTGATCCCTCGCCGTTCTGACCTCAGAATCCTTCACTACACTAAAGGCAAGCAGCTGCCGCCTCCCGCAGGAGCGGAGAGGGGGAAAAGCTCACTTGTCTGTGGGTGGGCGACTGTCTTAGCTCTGAAGGCAAAGCCTTCGTTTGTAGCATTTGAAGATCTCTAGAATACACATCCCCGCTGTGGCCGATTTCAAAGTGCCCGCGGTTCAAGATCATTCACAAAATCTCCTAGTATCAGCAACCAGCCAAGGCAGGAGCCTCTCTGGGCTCGCACCCCTCGGGGCTCAGCGCAGCCCTGGCTTCCTTAGGCCAGTGGGGGGGAGGCGGGGGGGATCCCTGCAGACTGCTGGGCTGCAGCTTAGGCGTTCACCTGCAAGGTGGAGAAGAAAGAAAGGCATTCTGGGTAGAGAAGTAGCTCAGGCAAAGCACAGAGACTGAGGCGTGCTGCTATCCAGGAGCAGGGAGCGGCTGCAGGGCGTGCTAACCAGCCATGGATGGACAGAGTGGGCAGAGAAGGCAGGGGTGTGTGTGTGTGTGTGTGTGTGTGTTGGGGGCGGGGGCTTCAGGACAGCTTTGAGTACAGATTGTGAGCCTTGCACTCTGACCCACAGGGCGTAAAGGGAGCCTCAAACATACAGCTAGATGCAACTTCAAGGTCATTGGTGCAAGAATCTTGTCTGACCCCTGCTTAGATACTCCCATTAACAGAGAGCTCACTACCTCCCAGGGGGACCCATTCTTTTGATGAATAATCGCTGCCGAGCTGCGCTGTTTCTGAAAGTCCGTGGGGCCGTTAATATGTATGAGCGGGAGATTGGCTCCGTGATGCTTTGAGGTCACGGGGAGCGTGGGCCCCAGAGAAGCACACGTGACCGTTTCATTCGCCCGCAGCCCTTTGGGGACGGTTTCATCATCCTAATGTGGCGCACCGAGATTTGCTTATTAAACGTGGGCGAACCCAGCGTCCATACTGGAAGGCTGGGTCTACACCAGGGCCAGGCAGCCGGAGGAGGAACTCCTGGATCCCTCATTGCCTGGTTTATCCCGCGGGCTTCAAGAGCATTTTCTACCCCACAGATCTAATAGGGTTTACTATTAATGGCAATTGCCCTGGTTAAGTCTCAGCCCTTGTAAAAAATGGAGCTGACACTTTCTAATGAGCGGCTTTCCAGCGAGTTACAGATTACGGGCCCTGCTTACGCAGGATCATCGAGCGTGGATGAAATATCACCAGATGCTGGCTCTCCACCGCCCCGCTCGGCGCTCTGCTCTCCGTGCAGAGCAGGAGTGGACCGGTGAACTTGCCAGACGGACCGCGTTAGCAGCCCTGGGGTGAATCCATCAGCCTCCTGAGTGGAAAGAGGCTTCAGAGATAAGACTGTCTTAAGCTCAAAGTTGATTTTTTTTATAAAGATCTTATTTATTTATTTGAAAGGCAGAGTTACAGACAGAGGGAGAGGTCTTCCATCCACTGGTTTACTCCCCAAATAGCCGCATCGGTGGGGGCTGGGCAGATCCAAAGCCAGGAGCTTCTTCAGGTCTCCCACGTGGGTGCAGGGGCCCAAGCACTAGGGCCGTCTTCTACTGCTTTCCCAGGCCACGGCAGAGAGCTGGATCAGAAGTGGAGTAGCTGGGACTAGAACTGGTGCCCGTATGGGATGCCGGCACCACAGGCAGAAGCTTAGCCCACTACACCACAGCATTGGCCCCAAAGTTGATTTTGAGGGTGGGCTGCAGCAGCCTACCCACCCCCTCCCCCCAGGGCCGGCCCTGGAGGATGGGCTCTGGGAGGCAAGCACGTGTGGGAGACAGGTTAGATGGAAGGGGCTGGGGGAGCCTGTTTTCCAGGAAGCTGAAGGTGGCGCCTGAGCTGCAAACAGGTGAGAGGTGTGCCCTCCTTCCTGGGTGGCCTCGCCTACGGAGAGGCTGTTTGTCAGTGGAAGCAGAGAGCCCCGCATCAGCAACCCCAGCCCAAAGCCGAGGAGTGAGGGCTCTCCTCCCCATTTTCAAGATGGGAAAATGGAGACCAGGAAGGGTGATGGATTTGTTCAGAGGTTCTTGGCACAGTGTCCTAGCTGTGCATCCTTGGAAAGGTTGCTTGACCTCTCAGCGCCTCAGCTCCTATGTGCAGAGTCAACAACAGGAAGCAGCAATGGGAATGTATAACAATGAAAGCACTGCGGGGTAGGTGAGCTATTGGTGGAGCACTTTGAGTAGTCCTGGTGCGCAGAAGCACCATATCCATGTCAAATCACTTGTGGAAAATGAATTAAAAGATCAATTTATTTTTGGTGCAAAAAATTTTGAAATCCATGCATAGGAGGGGTCTTCAAAGAATTTATGAAAGCGATGGGAGTATGGTCCGTTAGGACACCACTGAGGACGCCACATCCGGGTGCCTGGGTTTAAGTCCCAGCTCAACTTCCAGTCCACTCCCTGCTAATGTGCACCCCAGGAGGCAGCAGGTGATGGCCCAAGTACTTGGGACCCCACCACCCACGTGGGAGACCTAGGTTGAGTTCTCAGTGGCTGGCTATGGCCTCAATGTTACAGGCATTTGGGGGTGGGGGTGAACTAGTAGTTGGAAGACCTCTCTCTCTCTCTGCCTTTTTTTTTTTTTTTTAAGAATTACTTTTATTTATTTGAAAGTTACAAAGAGAGAGGTCTTCCGTTCCACTGGTTCACTCCCCTAATGACCAAAACAGCCAAAGCTGACCTGAATCCAGGAGCCAGGAGCTTCCTCTGGGTCTCCCATGTGGGTGCAGGGGCCCAAGCACTTGGGCCATCTTCTGCTGCTTTCCCAGGCCACAGCAGAGAGCTGGATCGGAAGTGAAGCACCCAGGACTAGAACCGGCGCCCACATGGGATGCTGGCACTGCAGGCTGGGGCTTTAATGCTGTGCCACAGCACTGGCCCTTCTCCCTTTCAAATAAATAAATAAAATGTCTTAATTCATAAACAATGTGTATTTTGAAAAAAACTATGCATGCATTTCGAATTTTTTGCATCAAAATTCATTTTCTATGAGCTTTTCACGTACCCTCCTGTGTTCATTGAATAGACAATAAACCAGGAGCCAGACCCAAGGCTTTGGACTGGAGGCTGTGTGCACTGAGCAGCCTTGCAGTCCGGTGCAGGAGTGGCCCAGGTGACTCCCAGGCACGAGGTGGCCGCGGTGTGGTGAGGGCGGGCCAGCCCTAGGAGAGGCATGTGGGGTACAGAGGGTGCCCGCTCAAGGCTTGGAGACTGGGACCTAGGAAATCACTTCTCAAGAATGAACACTTCCCATGATCCTCTCTGTGTCTTGACTACTGCAGACCTCAGGGAAGCAAGATGCTGCCCTCCCCTCACCCACACCCGTGTTCCTGGAAGATGTGGGGCTGGCTGGAGCTGGGCTTTGCGGGGAACCCCCAGACCCCAGCAGAGCCCCCCGGGAGGTTGCTGCTCCCCAGGCTGATTTTGGCCATTCTAGAACATTCCTTGAGTGTTGGCTACATAGCGGCCACTGTGTTTGGCACTCAAACACAACAAAAATGGGAGCGCCACGTTCCCCGCCACGTCCAGAGGGGCGAGTTCCGAGCTCAGCTTCTCCCGGGAGAACTCGGCAGCTGAGCGGGGAGAAAGGTTTTTCCCACACTCGGTCACCAGGCCTCTAGCACCTGCTGCTTTTCCAGGCATTGTGTGGACACGGGTGGGACTTGGGCCTGGCCAGGACAGGCTCCCAAGTCACAGTACTGGAAGACCAGGACGGAAACTGGTCAAACAGGGACACCACCACCCCAAACGGAAAAATCCTTACGGTGCCATTCAGCTTTTGGGTGATGTTTGAAAAAATAACTGGTTTGAAAACGATAAACATTAGTTTCCTTGCACTTTACACACATTTCCTCACACACACAGAGACCCGGAAATGAAACCGGGAGACCGTAGGAGCCCAGGCTGCTCCTAGTTTGTCCTGCTGTCCTGTGCACATGGCTTCCACCTCTGAAGAGAGGTGGCAGGCCGGTGCGGCGGCTCACCAGGCTAATCCTCCACCTTGCGGCACCGGCACACCGGGTTCTAGTCCTGGTCGGGGCACCGGATTCTGTCCCGGTTGCCCCTCTTCCAGTCCAGCTCTCTGCTGTGGCCAGGGAGTACAGTGGAGGATGGCCCAAGTGCTTGGGCCCTGCACCCGCATGGGAGACCAGGAGAAGCACCTGGCTCCTGGCTCCTGCCATCGGATCAGTGCGGTGCGCCGGCTGCAGCGCACCAGCCACGGCAGCCATTGGAGGGTGAACCAACGGCAAAGGAAGACCTTTCTCTCTGTCTCTCTCTCCACTCTGCCTGTCAAAAAAATAAAAAAAAATAATGGCTGCTGGGGCTCCAGCCATTCTGTCCATAGTTCTCCACAGTGCATGTTACCCTTCAGCAAGAAGGGTGGGCGGGGCAGGCAAAATAAAGACCCTTTTCCACTCACCCATTGGCCAGGAAGTAGTCCCAGGGCCACCCCTCACTGAACAGGAGCCCGAGAATAAAGTCTGCATTCCAGGTGGCCCAAGCCCAGCTGAAACTCGAGGTTCTACTTTGAAGGATGACGGGAATTGGTACCAGGAGCAGCCAGCAGTCTGCCACGGTGGCCCGGGTGTCTGGGAGCGGGCGATAAGCACTGTGTGCGAGGCTCCCCAGGGAGCCTGGTACCCCAGGGGGAGCCACTGAAGCCATGAGCGCTGGAAAGAGAGCTGTGCTTTGGGGAGCTCAAGCTGTAGGGAGCAGGTGGGGGGCGAGTCTCAGGGGACTTGCAGCCTGGCCGAGGAAGCCGGCCCTTCCTCCAGGAGGACGCGTGAGCAACGTCCCGCAAGTGACTCAGGATGCTCAGGGGAGAACGGGGCCTGGCGAACCCAGGAGGGCTTTCTGGAGGAGGAGGCTGAGTGGGGGTCAGAGGAATCAGATGGACAGGGCTCAACCTTCAGGGCCGGTCCAGCCTGGGGACCCGTGATGCTGGCCAGGTGGAAAGCGGGGGGCTGCGGAGCAGTACAGGGAGCACTGGATTGAGAGACCAGAGCGATGGCGCCCAGCCTTACCACCTCCCCTCTGTGAGACCCAAGTTGAGTGACTCCACCTCTGTGCACCTCCACGTGCCCCTCTGTCAAAGGTGAGGTCGCAACGGAGCCTCCAGGAGGCGGCCGCTGTGGGCCTGAGAGGGACAAGTTCCTTGTGCGCAAACGGAGAAGCGTGACGGGGGCTCCACGTGGAACTCGCATGGGTGGGAGGGCCGGTGCGAGCTGCCCTGTGCCCGCAGTGTGTGCCGGAGGGCGCTTTGGACAGGACTGCGCGCAGCTCTGCTCCTGTGCCAACAACGGGACCTGCAGCCCCATCGACGGCTCCTGCCAGTGCTTCCCTGGCTGGATCGGCAAGGACTGCTCCCAGGGTAAGCTGCCGCCCCGGCCCGGCCCTGACCCCTCCCTCTGCTGTCCAGTACCTTGATGCCCTGTGCCTCCACTTCTGTGCCTAAAACCTTCTACGGATGACAGGCTCACTCAGCTCTACAGCTGACACGATGAATGCTTAGGATTGATCAGGGGTATTAAGTGCTGGCATTAAAGGTATCGATACTATTAATTGTGCTATTAATGCTATGCTGAGAATCAATAGTCCATTAGCACCTGGACGGGGAGGAGGAGAGGGCAGGGACTGGAGGGCTGGAGTTGGGGAAGGTGGAAGGGAGGCGATGCCAGGGCAGTCACCCAGGAGGGTGCGGGTGGCTCCTATGACATCCTGGGCATCACGAGCCTAGACAGGGCCTTGTAGGGGCTGCTCCTGTAAGGGGCACCCAATCTAGTGCACAGACAACAGCCCCTCCCTGGGGAGGCCCCAGTCTAAGGGTGGAGACCCAGCCTCTGCCCTGGGAGCTCCTTCCTTGACAGGCGAGGCAAAGGCCTGGTTGGACATCTCCGCCCTCAGGGGGCTCCCCAGCAGGAGAGGGGGTGGTCTCATCCTCATGGGGGAAGTTAGGACATCAGCGTACACCCCGTGAACCACAGTGCTCCCCGACAGGGAAGCTGCAGGGGCCTTCCAGCCAGGCTGTCCGGCACCAAAGCCTGGGAGAGTGGGTGGAGCCCTGCGCTTAATGGGAATGCCGGGTGACCAGGGAGGCCCGGGAACCGCCAGGAAACGTCCCCAGGGTCCATCCTGGAGTCTGGGCTCTGACACAGCCTCCCCCTTTCCACCTGCCCCTCTCTGCCTCGTTCCCCCCGCCCCACATCCTGCCTACCTCCCAGCTTGCCCAGCTGGATTCTGGGGTCCCGCCTGCTTCCACACCTGCAGCTGTCACAACGGGGCGAGCTGCAGCGCCGAGGACGGGGCCTGCCACTGCACCCCGGGCTGGACCGGACTCTTCTGCACACAGCGTAAGCTCCGCCTCCCGGCCTCCCCGCCACTCCGAATCCCATGCTGCAGCCTACTGGCCGCTGTGGGCATTGGCCAGGCCTGCCACAGAGGGAGGGAGGGAGGGAGGAAGGAAGGCAGGCAGGACCAGGACCAGGCAGCCCAGGGGCCAGGCTGCATTCTGGGGGGTGACAGACCCAAAGTCCTGGCAATCACCAAGTCCAGACCCTCCTTTGTCGGTGGGGCCTGGAGTCAGGAGGAACGGCCTCTGGCTGCACAGCAGAGACTTGAACCTGACCCCTGGCTCCCAGGCACCCTTTGTTGGAGGGATCCTCTTGTCCCCCAGCCCGAGAGTCCAGAGCACAGAGGCAGCCGTGCTCTGTGGCAAGTCCCCTAACGGGAGGCCCTGTTTCTGCAGGCTGCCCGGCAGCGTTTTTTGGGAAGGACTGTGGGCGTGTGTGCCAGTGTCAGAACGGCGCCAGCTGTGACCACATCAGCGGCAAGTGCACCTGCCGCACGGGCTTCACCGGACGACACTGTGAACAGAGTAAGCTGCCCCAGCCCTGAGCCCTGGCAACCTGCAGGGGAACCCAACTCCTTCAAGGTCCAGCATGGGGGCTCTGCACCCCTGGCTCCCTTCACCCCGGGGCAACCCCCAAGAAAAAAAGACTGATGATCATGATCATGCCCACGCTGATGTGAAGAACGTCTCCCTCCAGTTGAGATGGGGATGGGGCATGGAGGGCAAAGCAGAGGCCTGAGGGGCAATGAGGAAGGAGGAGGCGGCAGGATGTTGTTTATTTGAAAGGCAGAGTTAGAGGAAGGAGAGACAGAGATCTTCCATCCACTGGTTCACTCCCCAAATGGCTAGGGCTGAGGCAGGCTGAAGCCAGGAGCTACATCCAGGTCTCACCCACATGGGGTGGCAGGGGCCCAAGCCCCTGGGCTGCCTTTCACTGCTTTCCCAGGTGTATTAGCAGGGAGCTGGCTCGGAAGCTCAAACTGGCACCCATAGGTGATGCCGGCCTTGCAGGCTGTGGCTTAACCCACTGCACCACAGCGCTGGCCCCTTTGGCATCCGGCTCAAGCCCAGGCACATGGAGGCTGCTGCTTACTGTGTTGCATGAGGAAGGGGCAGGGGTGGTAGCATCTTCTCCTTCTCTTCCATGCCCCACCAAGCAACCAAAGCACAACAGAAGCTACAGGGAGAAGCTTCATCCATTCACAGAACTGAACGGGTGGAGAGTGAGTGTGTCTGTCTGCTCTTTATGCTACACAGGATGTGCACCAGGAAGCTTTGGCTACGGGTGTCAGCAGCTATGTGAGTGCATGAACAATGCCACCTGTGACCACGTCACCGGCACCTGTTATTGCACCCCGGGATTCAAAGGAATCAGGTGTGACCAAGGTAATCCGCCGGCACCAGAGTGCCTGGGTAGCGGGCTGTGGACAGAGCCCCAGGGAGGCCCGAGGGAGACTCCAACCGGAACAGCTGGGGCTTGTAAGGACAGGTTGCCTGAGCTGTATCTGGAACACGAATGGGAGTGGAGCAGGTGCAGAGGCTCAGGTGCTGCAGAGATGGAGCAGGCGGCCTTTCGGCCATGGCTTCTCCATGCTCATCTTCGGCAAGTTCTCCGTGAGCCAAGCGAGGGTAACCACGAGGTGCACACTGCCAGGCTCTAGCCCTGCCACTACCTCGCACTTCCTCTTCCCCCATGACACCAGCTTCCGGAGGGGCTCCACCTCGGTGCTCGCTGGGGACCCAGCGGCGGCAATAAGGGCTTGGCATATAAATGAGCACTCTGTAAGCGGGGGCTCTGTGCACAGAAAGGCCCTTTATGAAGTACCGCCGGCAGCTGAGGCACAAGGAGGTTGGTGGTAGGCGGGGCGAGGGGCGAGAGCGGCTCACAGCTATCCATGGGACAGAAAAGGAGCCGCGTCACCCGGCCCTGCCTGCTGAGGCTCGCCCACTGGGAACGGCGATGCTGGCCAGCTGTTTGGCCGGCTGCTGGGCGAGCAGGACTGCCCCCTGGCTGCGCAGCACAGAACCAAGCGGTGTTGTGCTGGTGCTGTCTTGCCAGCCCCTCTTTTGCCGCTCACATGCCCCCAGGGAGGGCAGGGTTACTGTCCCTATACTGTAAGTGAGCAAACCGGGGACCCTGAGTCCCAAGGCTGGCTGCCGGCGGGGTGGGGGAAGGGTCTGTCTGCTCTGACTCCGCCAGTTACTGGTTGTGTGATCTCAGGTGGGTTACCCAACCTGTCAGTCACTTGGTTGTCACATGTGAAAGGAATTGACTGATCTCTCTCCCTCAGTGCAGTAGGAGAGTTTGCATGAGTCAATATCTAACCCATTTTTGGAATGGCATCAAGTGGCAAAACTTGTTACGATTCTGTTCCACAAATCCAATCACGTGCGTTCCTGGTCATGACGCTGGGGCCCCGCCCCCTAGGGCAGTTGAAGAAACCGAGGCACAGCGAGGGTTGGGGTCACGCGGTGACTGAAGAGCAGGCCCAGGGTGGGAACCAGGTGTCCTGGCCTCAGAGGGCAGGGTGGGAGGCGGAGCCCTGGAGGCGAAGGCCAGCTGGGCTGAGCGCCTCCGCCACCGTCTCCCACAGCGGCCCTCATGATGGAGGAGCTGAATCCCTACACCAAGATCAGCCCGGCGCTGGGCGCGGAGCGGCACTCGGTGGGTGCGGTCACGGGCATCATCCTGCTGCTGTTCCTCATCGTGGTGCTGCTGGGCCTGTTTGCCTGGCGCCGGCGCCGGCAGAAAGAAAAAGTGCGCGACCTGGCTCCCCGCGTCTCCTACACGCCCGCCATGCGCATGACCAGTACCGACTACTCCCTCTCAGGTAAGGGCTGTGCTGCCACGCGGGGTAGCCCGGGGGGACACCAGGCTTCTCGCCGAAGCGGGGTGGGTGCACTTCGGGGCTGGTTTGGCTGCTGCAGATCCCGAGAGATGAGGGGGTGGGAGAGGCATATGGGAGTCTAGAGGGTGGTGTTTCCTCGGCCCCCAGCTCTAAGCCACCTCCCACCTCCCCGGGGACTTCCCATCCTTCTCGCTGGGCGTCAGCCACAGGAGCACCCACACCAGCAGTCTCCAGGGGTCCAACGCTGCAGACTGACCTCCGTGCACCTCAGGAGGCTGCTGCCCAGGCCCGGGCAATTACTGCTCCTCTCCCAGTTCGCAGCGTTAGAAGGGCCCGGTTACAGCAGAATACAGCAGAAGGGGCGGTACCTGACCTGCAGGAGGCTTCAAAGCGAGAGCGATGGCCCCCTAGCGGTTGCACCAGAGCCCAGGCTGCCTGCAAATGCGGGCGCAACTCCAATGGGTATTCCACCTGGGAGCTTGAGGACGGGAGTGGGGCTGCTGGGCTGGCTCCTTCCTTTCCCCCGAACCCTGGGCTGCTTATTTAGCTAAACGATAGAGGCCAGGACACTGAAATTGCCCATATCCCTGGGCCACAGGCAGCCTGGGCTGTCTGCATGAGCACAGACGGTGGCTCTCTCCAGCCAGCATGGCAACAGCTACCCATGATGTTGCAGAAAAACTGAGATCATTCCAGGCCACTTCTGCCAAGCAGCACCTACTACATGAGGGTACTTCAAAAAGTTCATGGAAGATGCATATAATGACAAATCTATCCATGGACTTCAAAATTGTTTTGCACCAAAATAAACTTTTAATTCCATTTCCCCATGAACTTTTCAAAGTACCCACATCTAGCCAGCCCCATGCTAAGCAGGATAGACCGCGGCAAGGCAGCCCAGGTACAGGCCCTGCCTTCAAAGAGCTCCTGGCCCGCATGCCCGCCTGGGTTTCAGCCAAAGCAGACAGGCTCTGGTGAAATCCCACACCCACAGAGACATGGGGAGTTTCTTCTGGGACACGAGTGAGGCTGGCGGGGTTTCCCAGGCTTCCTGGGGCCATGTATTTCTCAGCCCGGTGGAGAGGTCTAGCAATCCTCAGAAGAGAAGGGCAGGAGCCGAGAGGAGTGGGCTTTCCTTACAGACTCACGACCATATAACCCCAGGAGGAATTAGGGGAGGGTCAGCCTTGTCCTCAACAGCAACTCGAGGACATGTGGGGCTACAGAAGCCAGCATTCCCCAGCCGGGGCCCACCTGGCGGTGCCAGCCTCTGCAGTGCTGAACCCGAGCGGAATCCTGCTCGCAGAGGGGAGGGCCCGCAGACCTAGCTCGCTCTCCTGACCGCGGCAGGGATGGTGGATGTCAGAAGCTGGGGGCTTGGCTGGCTGTGCAGGGTACTCCCGGGGCTGCCCAGTGCAAGCATTAGTACTGGGGTGTCTCACACTAGGGACAGGGGAATGATGTGTCTGGCACCTTGTTCTCTTCCTAGATTTGTCTCAAAGTAGCAGCCACGCCCAGTGCTTTTCCAATTCCAGCTACCAAGCACTGGCGTGCGGGGGGCCTGCCACCAGCCAGGCCAGCACTCTGGACAGGAACAGCCCCACCAAGGTACCGGCCCCTGACTCCCCTCACCTCTGCCCGGGAAGGAATCACACACACACACACCCTGTAGGGTCTGTATGGAACCAATACATTAAGAGCAGCCCTGGGACCTCTGGTACATGTAAGCAGTCAGTGAATCATGTACCCAGCCCACAGCATCATTCAGTGTGAGGCGTAACCTTACACTCTGAGTCTAACCACGAGTGCCACGTCAGGTAACCATCTTGTCACACGTAACTGTGTGTAATCAAAACCCTACACAACGTACCACAAATCACTGCCCCATGTTGCCAACGCCAGTGTGCACAACCAGCACAGAAGAGCAGCTATTACTCAGGTAACCCTGAGTGCCACATCCATACATTCACCCATGACCCCAAGGAACGTGGAACCCACAAATCAGCCGTGGCCAGCGTTCTCATGGACGGTGCATCCTGCAGGGCCTTCCCTGACAGATCCTGGCATCACCTGCCCCTCTTTTAGGCACAAGGCCTTGGGCAGCGATGGCCCTGTGTGTAGAGTGTGTGTGACATGCCCCTTTAATGTGCTGTACCCCTCCTGACACCCCATGCACGTCTGCCCACACAACGGGCAGGACCGTGTGGAGGGGCCCCAGGACTCCTGGCTTCCGTGACTTCCTAGGCCTCTGCCCCGCTGGCACTCAGGGGTCCTTTCCTGGGTTTGCCCGTGCAGGGTGGCCAGCATCACAGATGACCCCCACAGCAACGGTAACCGGTGGGAGCGGAGGCGCCTCCGGGGCAGCCACCGGCAAGCCAGCACCTGAAGCCACTGCCAACCTGTTTTCCTATGAAACAGGCATGCTGCATGCAAAGGCCCCGGGCACGTGCAACGGCTCAGCTCAGAGCCTCGTTCCAAGCTCCGGCGTGGGCTGGCCTGTAGTTTCCCAGTAGGTGGCCCTCGAGTAACCAGGGCCCCAGGACACCGGGGAAGAGCCCCTCCTGGTCTCATTCCCAGGGAAGCCACGCTGCCTGCTTTCTGGAGGTGCCGGTGTGACCCTGGGTAGCCCCCTTGGTGGCCCTCTGGCTCCCCTCGCCCCAGGGGCCCTGAGTGAGGATTCCTCAGTCTGGCAGCTGAGATGACCGGGGACAGACCAGGTATAGGCCCCGCTCTGCCGCTGACTCCTCGTGTGTCTGTGCGCAAGGCCCACGAGCCAGGACTCGGGTCCCACCTGTGAAGGGACGAGATCAGCCTTGCTGCGCCGTTAGGAATGCAGAGGGAGGACTGCGCCACGGGGCTCCAGACTTGCCTCAGGCTTCCCTGTGGTCCCACGGAAGGGCAGAGGTGACAGTGACACAGCAGACGGCCTTGTGTGGCCGTGGAGACACTACCAGCACCCTCTTCTGCAGTTCACTCCACCGCGTGGCCCTCCCCCACCAGGGCCAGCTCGGCTCAGGCCAGTTCTTGGCTCTGGGAGGCCCTGCTCCTGTCCTCCTTTGCCCTGGGGGCCTAGGATCCACGCAACTTCAGCCTGACACCTTGGAAGGGCCATGATGTCTTTCCACTGGCCTCAGCCACACCACGGTGGCCTGTCATGCAACACCCACCTCTCCTCTTCCCTCTGGTCTAGGGCCCAGGTAGGAGAGGACCACCCTGGGGCTGGATACATTGAGGCTGGGTAAGGTCACAACTGGGGAGGGGCAGCCGGGGCGCTGGGAATTAACTGGCTCTCCTGCTCTCTAAACAGCTCAGTAACAAGTCCCTTGACAGAGACACGGCAGGCTGGACCCCCTACAGCTTTGTGAACGTGTTAGGTCAGTAGTGATTCCAGTCTGGTCCCCACCCTGTTCCCCTCCCATATTCGCAGGGGCCCTGTCCCAGGTCAAAGGGAGAGGGGTGCCAGGAGGAAACCCAAGCCCCTGTTTTGTGTCTCATTAGCAACTGAAGCCCAGGACCCCTTCACTTCTACACCAGGGGGTCAGGCCTGGGGGTTGAGATGTGGGGGATCCAGATGAAACCACAGGTGCTCTCACCTTCTAGGGGAGCCCTTGGCCTGACCCAGGCCCCCCGGTGCCCCTTCAGGGGCTCCTTCCTTTGCCTAGCGGGGGCAGTTCCTGAGGAGGAAAGGAGTGGGGATGAGGGGAAACAAGGCAGACGGCCCTGGGCCTTTGGCTGCCACACACAGGGGCCTCCATTCCTTGCTCTACCTTGACCCTTGTCCCCTTCCCCTGTGATACAAGGGCCTTGGGAATAATGGCTCCTCCCTGTCATTCCTCTCACTAGACTCCCATTTCCAGATCAGTGCCCTGGAGGCCAGGTACCCGCCCGAGGACTTCTACATTGAACTTAGACACCTCAGCCGCCCCGCTGAGCCACACTCACCAGGTCAGACCCCCAGCCCTACCCCCCACCTCCTTAGACCAGACCATCCCTGCCCCCTGACCCACTCCCATGGTTCCAGAACTCTCCTTCCCTACATCATTAGTGTAGCAGCCCAAGCCCCCATGTAACGAAGGGAACCTAACTGGATCCTCCCCACCAACCCCACTGCTCCCACTGTGGCCAGCAGGGTGGCCAAACGGGGGCTGCTTTGGGTGGAGGGCTACAAAATACAACCCAAAGCCCGCTGAGGGAATGCCATACCTTTGGGGTTCTCTGAACCCTGTTGGTGTGGTGAATGGAGAGTTGGTCCTCTGGCCAAAAGGTTCAGTGTACCCTACAGAGAGACCCCAGAGCCAGCAGTGGCCTAAGCCAAGCTCTCCGAGATCCCCGGGCAAGGTTTCTGAGCAGGATCTATCACCCAATACCCTCTGTTACTCACATATCAAGTTCAAACCCGGTGACTTGGAGAGTGAGTCCTGAGACAGGAACATGGGGGCAGGTATCGTGGGAGTCAGTGCCCCGAATGGGGAACGTGGCCTCCCTGCCAAGCCGCTCCTCTAGGGTAACCTGGGGCAGGGCCTGAGTTCAGGCTCTAGGTGGTTTCCAGATCTCATGGGAAACTGAGCAGCACTGCCAACCCAAGTCCTTGGGCCCGGTAGCACTAGGAAGAGTGAAGTTTTGGAATTCTCTATGGGCTATAAAGACCCTGGGCTATACCCAGGAGGTTGTGTTCTGGGCAGTGTAGAGGACATCCAATAACCTCACCAACTACACTCCCTACCCCACTGTCAGCACCCCGGGTGTCTGCCCAGGTGGGAGCAACCTCTGCACTCGGGTCAGACCTCTCCTACTTTACAGACCTCGCTCTCCCAGCAGGGTGGCCAGAGCCCTGCTTGCAGACGGGCGGGCTGCTGGCCACTGGGAAAGCACACTCGGAGCAGTCAGGGTTGCAGCTGCCTCTCAACTCCTCACCTGCTGCTGGGCCAGGCTCTACTGCTCTTTAGGCCTCTGTCTCCTGTTCTGTGAAAAGGAGAAGTTAACTGGCCGGCCTCCCTCCCGGGGGAGGACAAAGGGAACCCCATCAGATGGAAAGGGCACGGGGACCTACAGGCCTTTTAGAAGAGTGAAACTTGAGGGAAAACTTGGGCCTGCTTCTGCTCTCCTAGCAGTGTGCGGGTGGCAGGCAGCTGGGAGTAGACGCCTATAAAGTCAGCTTGGGAACGAGGTGGGGAGGCGCGGGGAAGTAACGAGGGGGCAGTGGGCCGGGCCTCAGCGTGAGAGGCCCAGTGAGTCAAGGAGGCGGCAGCCTGTATCTCACTAAGCTCTCGCTGCACACCGGGCCTGGCACCCGTCCTCAGTTAAAAGCTGAGGGGAAAAGTGACTCTGAGTCCAAGTCATTGCTGTGCCAGACGAATGCAGCAGAGAGCCTGACCTTGGTCCCTGGAGCTTACGTCCTGCCTCTGGCCGGGGCTCGGGACTATGCACCACAGGAGCTGCAGGAAAAAACTGACAGCCAAACACAAGAAAGAAATCCTTGGAGCTGAAACACGCTGGTGACGCTTTTCAAAGATAACTCAGTTATGCACACATGGCCCACCCCCAACAGGGGTGCCTTCAAACACTGGCTGTGGCCGGGAAGGACTGCTCACCTGTAAACGGGCTGGCACTACGGCTGTGACACCAGCATTGAGTCCTGGCTGCTCCACGTCACACCCAGCTCCCTGCTACTGAGCCTGGGAAACCAGCAGAAGGTGGCATGGGTACTTGGGCCCCCGCCACCCGGAGACCCAGATGTAGTCCTAGGTTCTTGGCTTCAGCCTGACTATTGCCATTTGGGAGGTGAACCAGTGGATGGAAAATCTCTGTCCCTCTCTCTCTCACTCTGCCTTTCCAATAAAAAGACTAATCAACAAACTCAGCCCTCTGACACCCCTCAGCTGAGCCTCAGATACAGAAGAGACAGGACCAGAGCTGAGAGGGGAGAAACCCATCCCAGAATTCACCAGCACAGGGGTTGGGAGGACCCTCTCCCCTCAAGCCAAGAACTGGTTTGCTTCATTCCTTCTTCTGTACCTTTAGGAGCCTGGAACTTCACCTCCAGCAGCTGCAGGTGGCATCAGCATCACCTTGTATTACCTCCTGAGAGACATTCCTGTCGGGTGAAGGTTAAGGGGAAGGCGTGCTGAATGTGCCAGGGGGCGCTGTGGCTCACCTCAAAACCATGAGCCTTTCCAGAATTTCTGTGTCCAAAATGATTTAGGGTCAATTAGACCCAGAGGAATTTTCCAGCAATAAACAACTATTTTCTTGGTAAAGGAGGAAGGGGAAAAAAGCCAGAGAAAAAGAGGAACACAAGCAGTATAAGTACACTCACCCCATTTTTCCTTTTTTTGCAGGTGTTTGTGGAATGGACAGACGTCAGAACACATATATTATGGACAAAGGATTCAAAGGTAGAGTATCCACCTAATCTGATATCCTGCTACAAGAGGGCTTAGCAAGATAGAGTGCAGATCTGAAATATCTGAAATGGCCAATTCCCAGGAGAAGCCACATGCATGTGCGGGCACACGCTTGCTCTTGCGTGCACTTGCTCTCTCTCACACACACACAGTTAAAAGATCACAGGAACTGGGGCTGCTGGGTAGCGCTGCCCAGGAGAAGCAATCATCATCATCATCATCATAAATTTATCTTTCAACTTCAGTTGCACCTGCTTAGCAAATGCTTGTGGGTTTTTTATAGATGCCAACTAAATGCCTTCGGAAATGTAGAACATCATTATCCAACCAATTAGTAGGAGTTAAATTGATTATAAAATCTGAAATAAAGTCAATCTACCTGCCCCAGAGGCCTCCTGTTGTTGCACTGGCGAGGAACACCACCCTGCACCTGCTGCTTTTCTGGGGCACGAGGAAGGAGAATGCTACCCAGTGTTAACACTGTATGGCATCCACCCTCAAGAGAGCTCTGTCCTGAGAGCAGAGGAGCCAGGACAAATCCCTCCCCTATGGGAGCTGCAAGTCGGATCACCCCTGTAGGAAGTCTACAGGTGACACCAACAATGAAAGGGCAGGTCCTGCCCCTGGCTTAGGCCCCAGGTTTAACTGTCAGAACTTATAAAATATGGAACTCTGGAATTCTGTCACTTATTAATGTGACCCTAGACTATGAGCTCTCCAGGGCTGTTTCCTCACGGTTGGGATAATTATGCCTGTCCTACTGTCTAATGCCTGTCCTGTTGTCTAACAAGGTTATCACGAGAATCCAATAAAATCAGAGATGGGAATCAGTTTCTGCATATTGTAGAGGTTGTACTAATGTAATGGGGCTGTCCTTTTGTCTGAGGTCTATTTACGAGGCTTGGCTAAACTCTGAAAGAGACGACACCAGAGGTCCAAGCGGCTATCCTTAATCTAGTGCATCAGTATCACCTGGAAAGCTCAGTGAACCTGCAGGTGCCCATATCCAGTTTCCTCAGGATTCTGATACAGTAGATCCCGAACAAGGCCCTGGAATCGGCATCTGTGAGGAATACCTCAGGGGATCCTCATGCGGTCATTACCAACTACAAACTATCATTTAGAAAACACTGGTCTAGACTGACCTGGATTTCCCTGATGACTGTTCTGGTCTGCCAGACTTTTTTTTTTTTTTTAAAGGTTTATGCATTTATTTATCTGAAAGGTGGAGTGTCAGAGACACAATCCAAATGGTTACAACTGGCTGGGCTGGGATGCAACCAGGAGCCAGGAATTCCATCAGGTCTACCATGTGAGTGGCAGGGGCCCAAGCACTTGGGCCATCATCTGCTGTCTTCCCAGGCACATTAACAGCAAGCTGGACTGGAAAGCAGAACAGGCAGGACTGGAAACAGCTGTCTGATAGGGAGGCTGGCATTGCAAGCTGCTGCAACGCCTGCTCAGACCTAACCTTAGATACACCTAACCGAGACACAACCATTTCCTGGATACCTATTAGAAGTGGGGTAAGCAATGGGAGGAGGGTGGTGGAGGTACTGTGTTCTGAGCAAGAGCAGGGTGACTCGCCATCAGCCTGTGTTAGGGTATGCAAATCATAAGGGACCCGGGCTAGGAGGTCATCCTCGGGCTCTCGCCAGCCCGTGGACACCACTTCCCCTGGAGAAGTCTTCTGGCAACTGTCCATGAGTTTTGCCTTGAACATCCAAATGGAAGGCAAGCACAATTTCAGTGAGTGAGACTGAAAACAGCCAGGACAGTGCCACCATTTCATCGCCGTGACCTAGTTTCTTTCTCATCAGGCACTGGAAACTGGGCAGAAAGATCTCCAGGGCCTTTGCAGCTCTGAGATTCTGTATGACTCAAGCATAAATAAGCTTGGGCAGGCCCAGACGCCTCAACAGATGAGCAAACAACTTTCCTATGAACTCTGCCATCCTGTGCACTGTGAGTAAGGCAGCTACTTTCAGACTCAGAACCATAAATGTGGAACAAAGCTCAGGAGAGCAGTGCCTCGGCCTCAGCGGCATTTCAGCGCTGTTTTATGGGAGCTTATGTCTGAGCCTCTCGATGCAGAGGGCCTTAGCAGCCAGGCAGCAAAATCTTGTTTTGCCACTCTGGCTACGAGTGTCCTTTAAATTATTAGGAAAGAGAGCTGTGAAGAAGGCAAGTGTACCAAGTGCTGGGGACCAACACAGAACAAGAAAATTCAAAAAGAAGAAAATGATGTGTCACAGTTCAGAACTCAACAGAAAAACCACATAGAATAAATCCCACTAATTCACTAAACCTCCAAATAAACACTGAACAAACTAATTTGCACCATACATGAAATTACTGCCTTAAATTATTAGCGACCAAACAAATCAGAACCCCTAAGACAGGAGTCTAAAGGATTCTGTGAACTCAGTGGGGGAAAGTCCTGGCCTGGGAGTTAAGAGACTTGGGTTTTGGTCCTGGTTCTTGTTGTGTGGTCCTGAATAGGTCACAGTGCCATTTCCTGGGTTGTGGTGTCTTTCTCTTTAAAAGGTCAAGGTTGTATTAGCACCATCTCTAAGGCCGTCCGGCTCTGACATTCTGAAAGCCTCCATCTAATTCAGCCACAGCAGCTCTTGGCTGCTACTGCGGAGCTGCACCGCTGCACTGTCATCCTGGAAGCTGAGGCCACTTCCACTGTGCAGTGCCTTTCTTTCTCCCCGCTGCAACAAACTGCTTCCTGTTCCTCCTGTCTGTCAGGCATCCAGAGTGCTACAGAGGGCTTCTTTCCCCATTGTTCTTCCTCCCCTTCACAATCCTGGAATACTTGAGCCCACTACTGCTGCCACTTCCCCAACTATAAGCTCCTCTCCGTCAGCCTCCACGGCTCTCCTGGCAGGAACCTCGGGTTCTCAGGGAGCTGGATGACATCCTGAAAACCCCCTTTGCAGCCAGTGCTCTCCTTCTGACCCTGAGACCATGCCATCCCCGCCAGCAGGGAAGAGCAAAAAGGCCCTTTATTAACAGTAGTGCTGTGAGGTGCATGTCTGGTGCTGGGTTTTCCCCAACAGTTAAGGAAGCTGGGCCTTACATGGATGTTAACATGAACCTAAGAGGCCTGGATAATTTCAGGTCCTACTCACAAGGTGGCCTTGACAGTTACTTCCTTCCTGGATCTCCTTTCTTTCTAAGATGAAGAGGTTTGGTTTACTTCAGAAGCCCCTTCTGTCTGACGGAGAACTAGGTGAGGCTCGGGGCGGGGGGAGGGGAGGGCAAATGCCATGGCCATTTCTAGGAATAAGCCCTTGGCCCTGGCACTAATGACAGGCCTGGGAAGAGCGACTCCCCAAGGCTTGGGCAGCCTTAGTTGACGCTTCCCCTTTCTTCACAAAATGCGCTTCAGGGCAAGGACTGGGTGGGGCTGTAAAAGGATGAGGAAGTGTCTAAGAGCAGCTGGCCACTCTTCCCCCTCCCCTCCGCACAGGTGGGTGACTCAGCTGAAGGCAGTGGCTTCCTGATGTGGAGTCTGCCAGCTGGCCTTGCCCTTCCCCACTCTCCAGTTCCCTGGAGATGCAATCTAGATTTTTCTCCATAAGTCAACAGCCCCCCCACACACACACATCACATACATCTACACTCATACATGTCTCCAACCTCCATCTTTACCTCTAGCCCCTGTATGGAAGGGACTTCTATGACCCTAATCTCCCCCAGCCCCAACTCTTTCTACATCCATTTAGGTTGCATGCCCTGCTCCAAAACAATCTATCCCCCCAAACTTGAAAGCAGCCCCAACTTTTCTACTGAAAATGAGAGGGGAACCAGTGGCTGACTGAGTCTCTTTTAGGCACCAAGCCAGAGCTTCAAGACTCTCCCACTGCTGTAACTTAGTCCTGGAGAGCCTACCTTCTGTGTGTCTGCCTGTGCGCTCCCCGCCCCCCCCCCCCCCCCCCGACAAAAGCCATTCCTGTTTAGTAAGGTCACTGCAGATACAGCTTACATTTAGAGATATGCAAAGGAGCACTGGCCAACAAGAGGTGGGGAGGGAAAAACATCTTGACTGGGGATCAAGAAGACAGGGGTTGAGTCCCAATTTAACTACCTGCTAACGTGAGGCATTATCTGAGGGTACTCCAAAAAGTTCAAGGAAAACTGGAATTGGTACAAAAAATTTTCTGAAATCCATGAATATGAGAGGTCTTTACAGTTTTGGGGAAATGTGAATTAAAAAATACTACACATGAGTTTCAAACTATTTACACCAAAATAAACTCACCTTTCTACTCCATTTTCCATGAACTTTTTGAAAAACCTGTTTTTCTGAACTCCAGTTTCCTCATTTCTAAAGTAGCTTATAATAGCACTACTTCCTGTCCACCCCCCTCACAGACAGAACAAGTTTCAAGCCACCTAACTGAAATGACTGCTAACTGTAGGGGAGACACAAAGTGAGCGATCACTACTCCTCAACTTTTTTTTTTTTTTTTTTTTTTTGGACAGGCAGAGTTGACAGTGAGAGAGAGACAGAGACAGAGAGAAAGGTCTTCCTTCCGCTGGTTCACACACCCCCCCCAAATGGGCGCTACGGCTGGCGCGTGCCAGTCTGAAGCCAGGAGCCAGGTGCTCCCTCCTGGTCTCCCATGCAGATACGGGGCCCAAGCACTTGGGCCATCTTCCATTGCCCTCCAGGGCCACAGCAGAGAGCTGGACTGGAAGGGGGCAACTGGGACAGAATCTGGCGCCCCAACCGGGACTAGAACCCGGGGTGCCGGCGCCGCAGGCAGAGGATTAGCCTAGTGAGCTGCAGCGCCAGCCACTACTCCCCAACGTTAATATCCACCGGAGGCAGCTGTGGCAGGGTTTCTTTAAGGAATACTAAATGAGAAGCTCTGAGCCATGACACCTTACTCCTTACATGGGAGTTCAGGGAACCGCAAGTGAAGTCAGAGGGCCACGCTGGGGTTTCAGGACTGCCCATGGCCTTTTGTGCTAGGAAACCAAAGTGCCCAATGAGCGAGAGACTTCGGTGAGCCGGGACAGGGCGTGGCCCAGAACCACAGCCACATTTCTCCACGTGAGTCTCAACCTGCAGCTGTGAGCTATCACATGGTGCCTCCCAGGGTGCACCTTAGCACCAATCAGAAACAGATCCAGGACTCAAACCCAGACAGCAGCCACACCCCAGCCTCCAACTGTCTGGGAAGAATGTGTGTTACGGAACTTGCTCTGTTACTGATAAGCTGTGTGACCCTGAGAAGCCAATCCCCAACTTCAAGTCTTGCCTCGCTTGAGGTGATCTGCAGCAAGCAGATCCTAAGCCCTCCTAAGCCACAGGGGCCAGGGGTGGTGTTGAGGGCAGAGAGCAATCACTGCTTTACCTCTGTCACAGGGAACTGTCAACACCTGAAGGGGTGTACTTGTACACAGGCTGAGGGAATGCCACCTGCCGAACAAGCACCAACAGAACAGACATCCGCTTGAACAGAAAAGTAAATCCCCTCCCACCAGCTACCTGTCATGGGAGGAGACTGTATCAGCCCCATGGAGCATTCTGCTCTCGCTGGCCCACCGTGCATCCAGGAGCCCTCCTGAGTTACACCAACATTCCCACTCAACATTTTCACCCACCTCTCAGGCTGGGGGTACAAAGCAGACAGAAGGAAGCCCAAAATGTAAATCGTGGTGGTTCTAGTAAACGATCACCCAAGAATCTCAGCTTCTGTCGTAGAAATTTAGAGCTGAGAGGTGTCCTCAAACATGCTGGGCTCCCAAGCCCCTGCCATTCGGTGCTTGTTCTAGATCTCTTCCCAGCACAGCCTCACAGAGGAGGGCCAGGGTGTCAGACTAGAACCTGCTGCTTTTGAAGCGAGTCCTGCTTCACTTGGGACAGCCTGCAGGGGGCAGTGATCTCCCCAAAGGGGGGACAGGGCAGAGGCTGAAGGAAGGGGTCCCCATTCCTGCTCTCTTTGCCACTAACAGGCCCTCCTTCCTCTGCTGGAGCTACAGTTGCCTCGATTCACTTTTTGGAAACCAGCTGGCATCCTCTTGTTCCCTGAAGTCTCGGGGATGCACCTGCGAGGTGGCAGGAGAGGGCTGAGTTCCAGCCTCAGAGGAAGACACAGCTGAGAGGGCTTCAGCTGGGACACACAGTGACCGGGCACTGACCCTGCAGGACACACTGCAGGCTTCAGAGAGCAGGAACTTTCCAGAGGCGGCCTGGCCGAGGTGCTCCTGACACCTCTTACACTTCGGTCAGCCCCACTCTGATCGTGAGCCCATGGAGGACAGGGATGCCGGTGCTTTGCCACACAAATGTTATCAAACTGCTGACATCCACGCTGAAACACACAGGCCTACTTCATCCAAACCTAAGCTTCTTAGACATCAAAAAGGATTCAGAAGAACGGTATCAGAGAAAATGCACAGGCCAAGGACTTCCAAGACATGGATTCTAGTCTTGGCACTGCCATTTACTCCCTGTGACCTTAGCCAAGTCACTTCATCTCTCTGGGCCCTCATCCCATAAAATGAAAACTATGAACTATCCTTTAGAGGATTTTGTAAAACTTACAGATATGAAAGCATATATGAATATCTCAAATTAACACCTGCCTACTAAAAGCAAAGATGTCCCTATCCTCCAGAAATGCAAATCCCTTTAGAGAAAGGGCTCTGCCTTTCTGGGAAAGCACACCTGAAGACATCTAATAAGTAAATAAATCTTCAGTTATCACAGCTTCCAGCCCAGAATCCTGAAGCATATACGATGGACCGTAATCTGCTTCAAATACTTAAATGAAGACTTTTTGTCTGCTTGTTCTAAGAGATCTCTCTTGCCTTGCAGATTACATGAAAGAATCCGTGTGCAGTTCTAGTACTTGTTCCTTGAATAGCAGTGAAAACCCTTATGCTACAATTAAGGACCCGCCCATCCTCACCTGCAAGCTTCCAGAAGGCAGCTATGTAGAAATGAAGTCGCCTATGCACAGGGGGTCTCCGTACACAGATGTGCCATCCTTGTCGTCATCTAATAAAAATATATATGATGTTGGTAGGTGTCTCAAATAAGTACCTTAGTGAAATCAGGCCAGTAGAGCAGTACCTGAAGCAAAACCAAGTTCTCTCCATTCACCCTGTCTTGACAACACACCCTTGATTTGCTGTTGTTTTTTGGTTTTGGTTTTGTTTTTTTTTTAAGAAATCCAATGTGAACTGTCTCCCAGGACTCCCCTCTCTGCTGCAGGAAATCAAATTCTTGGGCCAAATCCACTTTACAAAACACCAGGACTGATAGGAAGCAGAAATACTGGGGGTGGAGAATTGGTACACACACACTGATTGTTGACACAGATCCCAGTTTAAAAAACAAAACAGTAAGAACTAGCATATGCAAGTTTTAAAATCACCTTCTACTTGCTCAGCTTCACCTCTGTCCCTGGCTCACTGAAAGACCCCGACCCCAGGATATTCTACATCTCTTGGAGATGAACTGAGGTTGGGGTTTTGACAGCACATTCACTCAGGTTTTCTTTCCAACTCTTAAGCAAGCCTCAGTCGTAAATCTCATAAACTTGTCAATTCCTAGTTCCTCTCCCCACCAAGTTAAATGGAACACCACCCCCAACAAGGCAACCAAAGTTAATCTGTTCTCTGAACTCAATTTTTTTCACTATATTCCTTAGAGCCCACAGTCAGTGTGGTCCAAGAAGGCCGTGGTCCTAACTCCAGCTATATCCAGAATCCATACGACCTACCTAGGAACAGCCAGATTCCTGGTAATTCCGACCTCCTCCCTGTAAGACACAGCCCTGCCAATGGGCCCTCCCAGGACAAGCGGTCTTAGAAGGGATAAGCTTCTCTCCTGTAGTGTGCTCTGTTGAAAATTCTGACTCTCTGGAAGAAGACAACCCCTTGATTTGAATTATGGTACACACTGACTCCAGCTGCCTGTCAGTCACTACGTTCACCTGGAACTAAAGAAGAGCTTCCAAGTGGGTCTGGGGTAAATGTGCGAGAAGTTCTGTTGCTACAGGCAAACCCTATCACCCACACACCCTGCCCCAGCCCCAAATGCCCTGGATTATACGATTTTTAAAGCATTTTAAGATACAGCTTCTCATCAACATCAGCTCAATATAGCTAAAAACATTTATATAGTTATCTGAGACATGATGCTTATAGAGCATAGAGAGTAGGTTTTGCAAACCTTACTAGGAGGAAAAGGGAATGGGAATGGGAGAGAATTACTTTAAGGAACTGGAAATGTGTATGCACTTCTGGTTGTTGTTACCATCAACATCTGTTTTATTACGCAAGTTCACAGAAACACAGAAATGACCTGTTATAATATCCTGAAGTACTTGGCCATATATGCCTGGTCCATCAAATTACAGTGGCTGAGACAACACAGCTCAGTGTTTTTAAAAAGGCAGCTTTAATAAATTCACATGAACTTTCTCCCTTCTGCCCCACTGATAGTACAAAACAAGCAGCAGAAGCAGCAGCTTTCAGTCTACACTGTGATTTCTGGGCCAGCCTCACCAGATCCGACGCCCATGTCATTCCATGTGACACACAGCTGAGACGCTGCTTTAAGGAGGAGCCATATACTGACAAGAATTAAGTATCCCTAGAAATGGCTATTTGGTCTCCTCAACTTATTTGGTTGAAATTCCTTCGTTCACAAGAGTGCTTGCTGCCAAGTGGTTTTTCATAAATCTTAAGTTTGATGTAGTGTGGATCCTAGAAGTGCAGAGGGAATTAGACAAATATAGATACAGGAAGTTTATATTGCTGAAGTTACTTTATATGCTTTTTGACGGAACTAAATGAAATAAATGATCAAAGAATGGACTATAACCAGTTGCTGTCACATGCTGTAAAAACTTATAAACAGCATATGGGGACACGATGTGCTTCTACTTAAAACCAACACCTACTGAGACGGCTAAGTATGTATTACAATGAGTTTATGCTCCAGATCCTGGTATTCAGATGTCTATACCTTCCATTATTCATGAATATAAGCAAACTGAGACTTGGACAAGTCAAAATGGAGCCAACTCCCAACTCCTGAAGAGGACCTCTTCATAAGAATTATAACCAAAAAGGGCAAGCCAAGGAAGTTAACGGCTATGCCTGTACTACTCCATTCTCTGGTAACAGTCAAGTTAGAAATAACACTTCCCCAAAAAATGTATGCAATGCTCCACTACCGCTACAGGAAGTGTAGGAGTTCTGAAATCCTGGATGCAAACTGGAAGTCTGCCATGGAACCCATTAGTGTGTGCAATTATCAGCAAAAGCAAGAAAATAAATGAGTGAGCCCCTCCCCGCCCGACTCCAGCCGAGTTTACTGTTAGAGGAGAACATACGATCCTACATGAATGCTGCATGTGTGCATGGAAGCAAGTGCTCAGCAACGGGAAATTTACTTTCCAAAAATGCCTCATTAAAATATATTAGAAAGTTACTTCATAGACCCAAGTAAATAATTCTCAAACATAGAACAAAATATAGATGAGAGACTTACCTCAGTAGTTCAGGGTAGCGATTACTGAACCGTGTTTATGAAACATGGATGAAGAAGCATGGCGAAGTCAGATGAGCAAGGAGCAGCTGCATCTCAACTGCAGGTTTTATCTTCTTCTCTTACTCTGCATGTACAATAACTGCTAGCTAGCAAACTGTGAACAAGCAGCATTATTTAAGTTTCCAGTTTACCTCTTTTTTGCCAACTATCTTCTGGGCAAGGTATTGAGCAAGAAGTGGAGCAGCCAAGGCACCGAATCAAGAGATTTCAGTGTTACCACAGTCAATGACTTGCCCTCGCTGGGCACCTTCTGTCCCCAAGCATAAACAAGGGAGAACCACTGAGGAGACAGGGAGCTCCGACAACCCTTCAGCTCTAGCCTTCTGAGACTTTTTAAACAAAGGTAACACAACTCCAATCAGGCTACACAGAGGAGAAGGGACAGGCACAGGATGTGATTAATCCATGGTGACAACAGCTGCCTTCACATATCTAGGAGTTACCAGTAAGAGACATTTCAATCTTACAGAGTGTTAGAAATTTCTGTCTAGCACTGTGACAAATAGGTTCATGGTCAGCCTAAATATGTGCACTGTGCATTTTATTGGCGACTTAGAAAGATCTGTTATTTTTCAGACACTAAATGTTCAAAAAAACTCATGTGCATACAATTCAAAAAAGAAAACACAATTATTGTACAGTAGCATAAATGAGACTATGAAATGGCAATACTTTTTTAAACCACAGATTTGTAATATATTTGTTCACTGTGCAGAGGGATTGTACCTTGTACAAATAAAACAAATTTCTCAAGCTAATTTAACAAGAATGCCTACTGTTGTGTTGTGAACTGAAACATGTCTATACTCTACACCCTGTGCTTAAGAGAAAAAACATCCTGCATTTTTGCATGTTTGCTTTAAGCAGTTAGAAGACTGAAAATTATTCCAATAGATGTTTGAACATAAAACGAAAAACCATCAAATTTTAAGAGAGTGTCTTCTTTTAAGTTAATGAATGGGAACAACATATTCTTACGTCCAAAAGCCATTTTCAAATCACATACACATCAGTATTAAGAGTGTTTCTCTGCTTTCGCAAATATTTGGGTTCAAAGACAACTCCTACGGCTTGTGCTCATCTGCAGCGGACATGAAGGTTCTTCTAATTTATACAAATGCAATGAACAGGCCGGCGCCATGGCTCAATAGGCTAATCCTCCACCTGCGGCGCCCGCATCCCAGGTTCTAGTCCCAGTCGGGGGGCTGGATTCTGTCCCGGTTGCCCCTCTTCCAGGCCAGCTCTCTGCTATGGCCCGGGAGTGCAGTGGAGGATGGCCCAAGTCCTTGGGCCCTGCACCCACATGGGAGACCAGGAGAGGCACCTGGCCAGCCGTGGCGGCCATTGGAGGGTGAACCAATGGCAAAAGGAAGACCTTTCTCTCTGTCTCTCTCTCTCACTGTCCACTCTGCCTGTCAAAAAATAAAAAAATTTAAAAAGAAAATGCAATGAACAGCTTTCCACTAGAAGTTATAACCAGAACAGTTACTCTAGGTTCATCTGCTTTCTTTTTTTAAAAGATTTATTTATTTATTTGAAAGGCAGAGTTAGAGAGAGAAAGGAGAGTCACAGAAAGAGAGAGAGAATCTACCATCCACTAACATAACTCTGCGGTCTAGTGGTAAAAAAGGAGGATTAATTTCGTGATAAAATACAGATGCTAAAAAAAAAAAAAAAAGCTTATGGAATATATTAAGTTTAAATTTCCCTGTCATACTTTCAAGGGCATGTGTATCATCTGTACATACAAGTCAAACCAAAACTTTCCAGCCTGTCAGCTCACAAGCCTTATGTGACACTCCAAAGATACCGCAACTAAGTAAAATGTTTAACCAAGAATAACACCATTTTTGTTGGTTAGAGATAAGGCCCATTCAGAAAAGATTACAAATAGACAATTCTCCAAGGGTAGGGAAAGATGAAGCATAACCAAGAGTCACAAGGTTAAAAATGGTGTTTACTGCTAACAGTATACAATTATACCCTATGAGATTTAGAATATTTTCTATAATACCATATATATACCCTAAATGATAACCAAAGGCCAATCGCTACTGGTGTGCATTCAATACAAGATCCAAGATTCGTTTTATTAGCCATTCATCTGACTAGGAGAACAAAAGGGATTTTTTTTTTTTAAGATTTACTTATTGGAAAGGCACCAAGCTCGACAGGGAGGGAGGGAGGAAGATCTTCCATTCACTGGTTTACTCCCCAGATGGCCACAACAGCCAGAGTTGGGCCAGGTCAAAGCCAAGAGCCGAAACCAGGAGTTTCTTCCAGGTCTCCCACAGTGGGCAGCAGATGTCCAATTAGGCCATCATCTGCTAGGCAGCAGCTGTATTAACAGGGAGCTGGATCTGAAACAGAGCAGCAGGGACTCCAACTGGCACTCCCATAGAAGGATGCTGGTATCCCAAGCAGCAGCTTAACCCACTGTATAACGCCAGCCCCCAAAAGGGCCCATTGAATCAGTATGTAGCAACAGGAGATAGAAGATCTTTCTAAGAAGGGATGGACGGGGCTGGTATTGTGGCATAGTGGGAAAAGCCACCACCTGCAACGCCAGCATCCCGTCTCAGCATTAGTTCATGTCCTGGCTGCTCCACTTCTGATCCAGGTCCCTGATAGTGGCCTGGGAAAAGCAGCCAAAGATGGTCTAACTGCTTGGGTCCCTGTTACCCATGTGGGAGACCTGGAAGAAACTCCTGGTTTCGGCTTGGCCCAGCCCTGGCCGTTGTCGCCATCTGGGGAGTGAACCAATGGATGGAAGACCTGTCTCCTCATCTCTTTCAAATAAACAAACCAACCAACCTACCTTTTTTTTTTAAGGAGGGAGGTGACGACCAGATGCATCCATGGAGCTTCATTACACTATTATTTATACTTTGCTATGTATGGTTGTTATATAATTATAATTCTCAAATTACATCTTCCCAAATGAACCCAAATGAACTCTAGGGATAGGTATTTGGCACAGTAGTTATGTCGCCCTCTGGCATGCCTGCATCCCCTGTCTGAGTGCGTGGTTCCTCTCCTGGCTCCTCTACCTCTGATCCGGCCTCCTGTACTAATGCACACCCTAGAAGGCAGCAGGTGATGGCCGAAGTATCTGGGCTGTTAGCAGCATTTGGAGAGTAACCCAGCAGATAGAAGATGTCTTTCAAATAAAGCTTTTTAAAAAACACCCAAACAATAAATGCCTGTATTTCCTTACAAAATGAACCCTACCATAGCCCCCTCACTCCTTTAGAAAGCCTTGCTCATTTGTTCTGACATGAAGTTGTAAGGGGGGTGGGTACAGGAATGGAAATATGACCAAAGCATGTTCCCGACCTTGTGGGACAGTGAGTTCTAGAAGGGCAAGAATACGTGGAGGGCCCTGGTGATCAGGGAGGGGGTGATCATGTGCTTCTTCCCTGATGTGCAGAGCCAGAAAGACTGAGTAGTCAGTCCAGCCCAAACCCGCAGAAAGCGGACGCTGTGCTGCCTAGCTGTGCTGACAGATTCCCTACTCATTCTAGCTTCTGCCTCCTAAGCCAGTCTAGCTCAGCAGATGGCCCTGCAGATCCTTGGGTAAAAAAAGCACAGGGACCTGAGATCTTACATAGTGCTGTCATTTAGCTTTACTGTCATGTTAACTTTAATGTAAACCAAAACTAGGAACTGAGGGCCCTAACCGCCTCCCTCCCCTTGCTTTCGCATCAAAGACATCTTACAGAAACAGTGTTGCTTCCCAGGGCTTTCCAGACTGTTCCGTTTCCTGCATATACCCTTCTTCTATAATATTCTTGTGCCCACATGATGATGGCATGGAGGCCAGTACAATGGTCAGCAACTTCTTAAAGACATGTCATGTGCGTTTCCCTAGGGGTAACTGAGAAAATGGTACGTTGAGAGACTAAAGGTGGTCAGTAGGGGAAACAGTACATGTACCCACAGGGATGGGGGCATAGGATCTGCAGTTCTGTGGTGTGGGGCAAGGGCAAGCTCTCTGACTCATAGCTAAGAAGGGAATCCTGTCGGCCACACTGCTCACTACCATCACTGGTACTCTTAACTAGCTATCAGACAACATATGTGATGTCTTACACTCACATCTATGTCTAGACTTGTCTACCTGTGCGTAGCAGATGTTAAAGAACTGAATTCAAATAATGTTTAGACTATTAATTAGATTACATCAACAATACCCTTTATATCTTGTGTGCATAAACCTATACACTTGGAATTAATTATTGATTTCTACCTTCTTGTAGATTCCTTTTAAACAAACATTTCTTAAAAATTAAACACAAGATGTTTTTAAAAGTTCTCTCCCAGACATGAATGTATTTTAAAGTACACATTAAAGCCAGCAGGATTTTAACAGCCAAAGCCATAACACAAGCAGTTCTCAATTTACAGTTGACATAGCAGCCCCACCAAGTGCTCCTCCCCCGTAGCACATACGGTACTGTGATGCACATTGTTAAAACGGACAGTCATTTTGCAAATGTTCTGAGAGCGTTCATCCTACTTTACGAAGTTAACATGGAAATAAAATTAACATTTTAAACAAGTTACTGTGATGAGACCAAAAACGTTTTACAAAGTATATACTTGATTTTATCTATTGAATTTAAATCTCAGTTAAAACAAATAATAATTTGGCTGTAGTACCTGAAAAGAGAATTGATTCAGAAAACTGTAAAGTTAGAGTTGGGATGAACCCCTGAAATGTAACCCATCCCCTCACTAACTGGATGAATGTGTGCAAGGCTCACAGATGAAATGATCACAGGAGCTGGGCCTCAACTCCGTCTGTCACCCAGGCCAGTGCCCATTACACCTGCCTTTTAAAAGTCTTTTAACTCATATGGGGTAGCACATTTCCTAATACATGCTTAGTATACAACGTTCTTGCAAATATTCTTTCTCTATCCTCCAAACTGATTTTCAGGAAAATGGATACTCTAAACTGAAACTGTCTCTCGGCCTAATGGTCTCCTTTTGTAAATACCAATGACTTCACCATGTTGTACCACAGTGTATTGTTATCATTAGCCTCCTACAGTTTGGGAGAACATAACCATTCTTTAAAACATCAGAATGACAATTACAGTATATTGGCCTATACAAATGGTTGGGAAAGATGACCTGTCCAATCCCAGGAAGAATGTTAACATGGCCACTGCCCTAACCAGAAGAAAAATCAGCTCCCTCCTCTTCAGCATCATAGTTCTCTCACTGTCTTGCTGACCCATTACATGATGGTGGAAGGGGTCCTTTCACAGTCTTTGTTCATTTTCTTTTTTACAAAGTGAATGGAAGCCATCCATAAAACTCTACAAAACTCACATTTTTACTTTTGCGAGTTTATGGTATTTATGATACATCAGATAATCAATTTCCATGTTTATCCTCCATTAAAATACATTGGGGCAAACATTTGGCATAGCAGTTCAGATACCATTTGGGACGCCTGCATCCCACATTAGAGTGCCTGGGTTCAGGTCCTGGTTCCCAATCCCAGCTCTGCCAATGTGCACCCCTGGAGACAGCATATGCTGGCTCCAGTAGCTGGGTCCCTGCCACCACACCTGGACTGAGTTCCAGGCTCCTGGCATTGACCTATTCCAGTGCTAGCTATTGCAGGCATTCGGGGAGTGAATCAGATCTCTGTCTCTGTTTTTATCTTTCAAATAAATAAAAATAATTTTTAAAAAATCTCCACAAATCAAAACCTAACAGAGGCTGGAATAAATTCTCAGTTAGCCACCAGTTGGAATTTTTCTGCTTCTGGCAGTGACCAAAACTGTACAAATAGTACAGCTTTTTCTCTTTAAGGTAGATGCACAGACCATTGAAAGCATCTGTGTTCTGTAAATACAAGTCAGTGAAGACAAAAAACAAAAAACAAAAAAAAACCTTATTTTCTCAATGGCAAAATATATGTGACTAGCTTTGATGAACAATTCAAAATCTTAATAAATCTAACTTCTTAAGTCTACATCAACTTCAAAGTTCTCTGGCATAAGTCACTGGCTCGTACCCCTTCTTAGAATTACAATTTAGAAGACTCAATACAATAGTTAATGATAAATTACCTTCATATAAAGACAATTACTAATAAAAAGAAATCATAGATAGCACTTGAGAATAATCACATACAAGTTTAAATCAAGGCACAATGGCTCAATGACTTTTTAGCAGAATGCAAAAGTTAGAAAAAAAAAAATTCAGGGGCTGGTGTTGTAGTATAGCAGGTAAAGCCTCTACCTGTGACAACGGCATCCCATACTGGCGCTGGTTCATGTCCTGATTGCTCCACTTCCAATTCAGCTCCCTAATGGCTTGTGAAAGGCAGCGAAAGATGGCTTAAGTGTTTGGGCTGTTGCCACCCATGTGGGAAACTCACATGAAACTCCTGGCTTCAGCCTGGCCCAGTCCTGGCCATTGTAGCCATCTGGGGAGTGAACCAGCAGATGGAAGCTCTCCCTTTCTAACTCTGCCTTTCAAATAAATAAATAAGTCTTACAAAAAAAAAAAAAAAAAAAAAAAAAACTTTCAAAATTAAAATAACAGAAAAAGCAGGGTCAAAGAGTCAAGTACTTCTAAACTGTCTACAGCCCTGAATTGTGATAATATTTAAAAACTTAATGTTTCTTACTTGAGACAATTTTTCTACTGAGATACTACTCAGAATGAAAACACTTGTTCAAATGCAATCAAGGTCATTTTCTAGTACATAATGTTTCCTGGAATTCTCCCAAGATCCAACCATGACCAAGGCAACATTTAAGTCTCTCCTTGGGAAAATCTCTCAAAGTTACCTTATTTTCAGTTCACTATCCACTTTCTCTTTTTCTAATATAATTTTCCAAAAACTTTTACTCTAAAAACTTTAAATAAAACAGAGATGCCGCCTTTTCCTGTGTCTGGTGACACTGCTTTGTATGAAAGTATAGATGCTATTTCTCTAATGCTTTAGCTAATACTCTTTCCAAGAAAAGCACAATTGAACTGCAGGCCTGAAATCAAAGTTAAATTCATACACCAATGCCTTCAATTCAGTATTTACTCAGTGATGCAAAGACCTATGCTCCTATTCATCAGAATCAAGTATTCCACAGATGCATCAAAAGCATTCAAAGGAAAAATATAATCTGACAACGTAAGGAATAGTCCCCCTATAACTGTTTATTAGAATGAGAATATATTCCAAATCAGCAACTAAAAAAAAAAATCAAGTTACAGAGCATGCATAAAATACAAAGTAGCAATTTACAAATAGATAATAGTAATCTTCATAACCAATATTCTAAAATAATAAGATGGCTACAGAAGAAAACCAAAATACTGACTACAGCAATGCTTCCGTGCATCTCACACATCATGAGCACTGCAAAGACAGAAGTTTAACGACTATGCAAGCCCAGCATCCTGAACAGTGTCACTGCAGTTGACACAACTTTCAGGAAACTGCAGAGTAAGTGCTTGATAGTGTCCACAAGAAAGTAAACCAAGTATTAGTGTGCACATTTCTGAATGAGAAACTAGTTGTTCCATTGATTTCAATAATGCAGTGGAAGAAACTATTTCAGGTCTCTATAATGCCTGAATGCGTTCTATTTAAACTCATGGTACTATCTCTTTTTATATTTTAAAAGAATACATGCCTTTAAGTGGTTTCACTTGAACAGAAATTAACTTCTCACTGTATTTAGACATATTGAAACCAAAGATTTAACTGGACTATCCTCTATATAACACTGAAAAATGCAAATATCAGCATTGTTAAAAATAATTACTCATGCCTGCTGGTGGATATGCTGATAAAACTAAGTTGCATTTCATTTACTGGAAGGGTTTAAGACAAAATTAACTCTTCCAAATGTGATACTACTAGCATTAAACCAGTTATTGCCTGAGCAATAAAACGCCACATAAGCCACTGCTGGGAAATTAGATCCGTTCAATGACGGTTGCCTGATCACTACAACAGAGGCACCACAGAGGGGATTCCAGCAGCCTCTCCAGTTCCCAGCCTGCTAAGCAGCACATTGTTTAACTTACGGCCCCAACACCATATCACTACTGAAATCGTAACAATTTTTTATGTTTATTCTTGTCCAGATAAAAGTGTACCCCTTTCTAATGAACTCTGATGTTTACAAAAATTAAAAAACAAAATTTCAAAACTACATAAACCGATTAAGGCATTTTAGAAGTTGACTTCCAGAATAATGGAAAACTTTCAAGCTCTCAAACTCCTGCTATGTTTATCGGGCAATTCTTAGGTCTGTGGAAATATGCACTGTACTGAGAGAAGAGTGTTTTACTTATTAAGCTGCTCTGTGGCAAAATGACGTAGCTCATTTCTAGGTTCTTCTTAGTTTGATTTCATCAAGACCAGTAGGTCTGAGTTTCAAGTGATCAAGTGTATTATGTCCTACAGTGTGACAAGTTTCCATGATGAAAAGTAAACAATAATTGAGGAATTCAAACATTCAGTTTATTAAACTAAGGCTAGTGAAGCCATAGCATGAAAAAGAGCTGCAGTCATTTGGGACAAGTGGATGATTTTATAAAGCTAAAATCAAAAGACTTAAGACATGGAAATATTCATAAGTATGAGGAAGTAATGAAACACAAAAGTGACCACAAGAATTACAAATATATTTAAATCTCAGACCTGGGAAATGGACTATACACAGCCACCTAGGGGAGGAGAGAAACGCCTTAGATGTTCTGACAGCACTGCACCTTTGGCTTGTTTTCAGTGGTTGGTGGAACATGAATAGGAACCACATTGTTGCTTGGAGACATGTCATTCTCACGTCTGTCTGACATCTGCTTCTGAGAAACAATGCGGTATATCTCTGAAGGAAAAAAAAATAGCAATACTTAGTCCCAATAAAACCATCAATACTTAGCACAAAAGATACACAGAAGACATGACTACATCTGCAGCAAAGCCCACAAATAACTAAATAAAGGATACAAAAATGTTAAGTTTTACTTTCAAACAGTCACTGATTAGAATCAACTCATTATTTTAATAATTTCCCTTAGGGTAAGAAAAACAAGTTTTCCATTTCAGAGAGAAAGGTTCCCCAGTCTAATAAACCTTGGTTTATTTATTTATTTTTAATTTATTTGACAGGCAGAGTTAGACAGTGAGAGAGACAGAGAGAAAAGTCTTCCTTCCATTGGTTCACCCCACAAATGGCCGCTACAGCCAGAGCTAAGCCAATCTGAAGCCAGGAGCCAAGTGCTTCCTCCTGGTCTCCCATGTGGGTGCAGGGCCCAAGCACTTGGGCCATCCTCCACTGCCTTCCCTGGCCACAGTAGAGAGCTGGACTGGAAGAGGAGCCCATATGGGATGCCGGCGCTGCAGGTAGAGGATTAACCAAGTGAGCCAGGGTTCCGGCCCCTAAACCTTGGTTTAAAGAGCATTACACAGTTTACGGGTTTAGATGTGAATTAAACTATAAGATATTTTTGGTCCAAATATATTGACATTTTACCACACAGAAAAATCCATCCATTAATCTGTACTATCAGACATATTAGGCATTTTTATTTTTCTTGACTGTGTAGGAAAGAGCACAACTTTAAAACATGCTAAAATTCCACAGTACTCATAAGGGAAAGAGAAAAAATGAGTATGTTTATCAGTGATCTCCTGAATGAAAGTATTTAAATAACTAATTTAGCTGTACTTTGGAAATCTATATTCATTAAATAAAAGTTAAAAAAAACTGAAAAAAATAACTAATTAGACAACACACCAACTGAAGATTGAATAGGTATACTTTTTTTTTTTTTTTTTGGACAAGCAGAGTTAGAGAGAGAGACAAAGAGAAAGGTCTTCCTTTTCCATTGGTTCACCCCCCAAATGGTTGCCATGGCCGGCGCCAATCCAAAGCAATGGTTGCCATGGCCAGCGCCAATCCAAAGCCAGGAGCCAAGTGCCTCCTCCTGGTCTCCCATGCAGGTGCAGGGCCCAAGCACTTGGGCCATCCTCCACTGCCTTCCCGGGCCACAGCAGAGAGCTGGACTGGAAGAGGAGCAACTGGGACAGAATCCAGTGCCCCAACTGGGACTAGAACCTGGGGTGCCAGCACTGCAGGCGGAGGATTAGCCTAGTGAGCCATAGTGCCGGCCAGGTACACTTTCTTTTAACACTTACCAAAACTGTTCAGTATCTGCCTCTACCATTAAATGTTAAACCCCATGATGACCAAAACTATCTGACTTATTCAGTGCTATATCTCTAAAATACAGCATATACGTGTTCATTAAATTCCTCCACAGTAGTAGATATATTTAACACATTTTATTTGGGCATATACTGCATTGCCAAAAAAAAAAAAAAAAATACTTTCCCTGATAATATTAAAGACTTAAGAACAGGGGCTGGGAGGCCAGCGCTGTGGTGCAGCAGGTTAAAGCCCCAGCCTACAGCGCTGGAATCCCATGTGGACGCTGATTCGAGTCCTGGCTGCTCCACTTCCAATCCAGCTCTCTGCTGTGGCCTGGGAAACCTGAAGATGGCCCAAGTGCTTGGGCCCCTGCACCTACGTGGAAGACCTGGAGGAGGTTCCTGTCTCCTGGCTCCTGGCTTTGGATCAGCTCAGCTCTGGTTGCTGTGGCTGTGGTCATCTGGGGGGTGAACGGTGGATGGAGGACCTCTCTCTCTCTGGCTCTGCCTCTCTAACTCTTTCAAATAAATAAAATCAATCTTAAAAAACAAACAAAAAAAACAGGGGCTAGCACTGTGGCACAGCGGATAAAGCTGCCCCCTGCAGTGCCAGCATCCCATATGGGCACCAAGTTCCTGCTGCTCCACTTCCGATTCAGTTCCCTGCTAATGCACCTGGGAAAGCAGCGGAAGATGGCCCAAGTGCTTGGACCCCTGCACCCACATGGGAGGCCCAGAAGAAGCTCCAGGCTCCTGCCTACGGAATGGCCCAGTTCTGGTTGTTGCGGCCATTTGGGGAGTGAACCAGCAGATGAAAGATCTCTCTCTGCCTCTGCCTTTCAAATAAATAAATAAATCTTACTAAAATAAGAAAAGACTTAAGAACAGTGATTGTATCTAATTTATCTTTGTTCTCCCAATGCCTCCCCCTCCTCAAAGTCCTCAAAAGGTAACAGAATTCTAAAAATAAGGCAAACTGATGTAAGCCTCCTAGTATGATACACCAGGGAGGACACAATGTATTCCTATGAAGGACACCCATGTATTTCAGTCAAAACTGTTGAAAACGAATTTAATCATGAGCAAACAATCAGATAAATCCAGACTGAGATGAGAATAAATGTCTTAAATCTTGGCTGTTCGATATAATAGCTACCTATTTAAATTAAAGCAAATATTTAAAATCTAATTCTTCCATCAACCATGTTTCAAGTGCAACAGCAACCTGGACACCATAGACACAAAGCTATTCCATCGATGCAATATGTGATTGTTGCCTGGAATTAAAAATTTAAAACTCCAGGGTAGGCATTTGGCAAAGCAGTAACACTTTTTTTTTTTTAAAGATTTACTTATTTGAAAGTCAGATTTACAGAAAGATTGAAAGAGAGAGAGAGAGAGAGAGAGAGAGATCTTCCATCCACTGGTTCACTCCCCAAATGGCTGCAACAGCCAGGATTGGGCTAGGCCAAAGCCAGGAGCTTCTGGGTCTCCCACGTGGGTACAGGGGCCCAAGCCCTTGGGCATCTTTGGCTGCTTTCCCAGGCATATTAGCAAGGAGCTGGATCAGAAGTGGAGCAGCTGGGACTCAAACTGGTGGTCAAATGAGGTGCCAGATGCTTAATCTGCTACGCCACAAGACCAGCCCCTCCATAACTATATTTAACATTTTTTTCAAATACTGTATTAGAGAAAAATATGGTGGACATGCATACATCCTTCATCTGGAAGCATCAGTTATTAACATTTTGCCACATTTGGTTTCTCTCTCCTATGTGTGCTTACACTTTTCTAAGTAAAAAATAAATTGTATGTATTATGGCAATATTAAATACTTGAGCATTTTGTCTCTTAAAGAACAAGGCTTTTACACTTTGTGTTTCTGTGTTGGTGCAAACTGATGAAATCTTTATTTAATATATACTAACTTGATCTTCTGCATATAAAGATAACTGAAAATGAATCTTGATGTGAATGGAATGGGAGAGGGAGCGGGAGATGGGAGGGGTGGAGTAGGAGGGAAGTTATGGGGGGAGGAGCCATTGTAATCCATAAACTATACTTTGGAAATTTATATTTACTAAATAAAAGTTGAAAAAAAAAGAACAAGGCATTCTTCTACATAATCAGAGTACCATATATCATATCCAAGAAATTTAACATTTACATAGCATTTAATGTACAGCCCATATTAAGAGTTTTCCAAGTATACTAATGATGTCCTTTATAAATTATTTTTTAAAGGTTTTTTTTACTGGGGGCTGACGCTATGGTATAGTAGGATAAGACTCCATCTAGCTGCCAGCATCCCATGTGGGCACCGGTTCGAGTCCTGGCTGCACCACTTCTGATCCAGCTCCCTGCTAATGGGACTGGGAAAGCAGCAGAGGATGGCACAAGTCCTCAGGCCCCTGCACCCATGTGGAAGACCTGGAAGAAGCTCCAGGCTTCAGATTGGCCCAGCTCAGGCTATTGCTGCCATTTGGGGAGTGAACCAGCAGATGGAAGACCTTTATCTCTGTCTCACCCTCTAACTTTGCTTCTCAAATAAATAAAATCTTTAAAAAAAATTTTTTTTTTATTTATTTGAAAGACCAAGAGACAGATCAATTTTCATCTTCTGGTTTACTTCCCAAACACCGCCAAAAGACAGGGTTGAGCCAGACTGAATCTAGGAAGCTAGGAGCACAGAACTCAGTTCAGGTTTCCCACATGCGTGGTGGGAACCCAAGAACTTGTACTACTTCCTGCTGCCTCCCAGGGTGCACATTAGCAGGAAACTGGTATCAGAAGCACCAGGACTTGAACCCAGCTACTCTGATAAGGGATGCTGGTGTCCCAAGTGGCGGCTTAACTGCTGCTCCAAACGCCTGCCTCCCATCTCTCTTTAAAGTTATCACTACTAGGGCCAGCGCTGTGGCCCAGTGAGTTAAGCTGCCATCTGCAGCACCAGCATCCCATATGGGCTTGGGCCCCTGAACACATGTGAGAGCCCTAGAAGCAGCTCCCGGTTCCTGGCTTTGGCTTGGGCCAGTCCCGGCCATTTGGGAAGTGAACAAGCAGATAGAAGATCTCTTGGTCTCCTCTCTCTGTAACTCTGCCTTGCAAATAAATAAAAAATGTATCTTTGGGCTGGCACCGCAGCTCACAAGGCTAATCCTCCGCCTATGGCGCCAGCACCCCAGGTTCTAGTCCCAGTTGGGGCGCCGGATTCTGTCCCAGTTGCTCCTCTTTCTGTCCAGCTCTCTGCTGTGGCCCGGGAAGGTAGTGGAGGATGGCTCAAGTGCTTCGGCCCTACACCTGCATGGGAGACCAGGAGGAAGCACCTGGTTCCTGGCTTCGGCACAGCACGCCAGCTGTAGTGACCATTTGGGAGGTGAACCAATGGAAAAGGAAGACCTTTCTCTCTCTGTCTCTCTCTTTCACTGTCTAACTCTGCCTGTCAAAGAACAACATATATATATATATATATATATATATATATATAAAATATAAATATAAATATAAAAACAACAACATATATATATTTCAAAGATATATATATATATCTTTGAAAAAAAACATTTTCAAAACACTCCAAAATATCAATTCATCTTATAAAAACATTATCTGGATCCTAATATGAACTGAAAAGAAATTTTAATATTCTTTCAAAAACAAATATTAAGGAATTAC